CAGGCCACCCCGCCCTACCCAGGTCACCTTCTGGCCCTGCATGTTCCAGGTGGCCACGAACAGTGCCACGTTCCGGTCTGGGAAGTATCGGGCAAGCTCCTCTGCCCCCAACAGGGCCCCACTGGCCAGGAGGCTGCCCTCCAGGTAGCTCCTGTGACGGGAGGAAACCAAGCTTGGGGCCAGGCACAGGACACATCCCTGCGGGGGGCTCAGCCAGGTCCCCAGGGATGACAGCAAAATGCATGGAATGTCAGGAGCTGCCCCAGCCCTGAGCAAGAACTCTCCTGGGCCCCACAGCACTGCTGTGTGCTCTCCAGGACAAGGCCCAACCCGGCTGCACAAACACCCAGGCGGGTTCACACCCCCTCACCCCCTCCCGGGAAGAGGCATGCGTGGGTGGTGGCCGGGATGGAGTCCGGTGGTGCGATCTCGGCTCACTGCAACCTCTGCCTCCCAGATTCAAGCGATTCTCCTGCCTTAGCCTCCTGAGTAGCTGGGATTACAGGCACTAGCCACCACACCCAGCTAATTTTTGTATATTTAGTAGAGATGGGGTTTTGCTAAGTTGGCCAGGCTGGTCTTGAACTCCTGACCTCAGGTGATCCACCCGCCTCGGCCTCACTTATGCTTTTCATCCTAACTTGCTAAGAGAATCAATCTTACACCTTCATCCTGCAAATGGAAACCAAATTCCTTTGCAGGAGATTAAATGATGCAGGTGTTTCCCAAGTCACAGCTGACAGAGGACGCCAGCACTGATTCTTGTTACCTCCCGTGAGAACTTCTCCAGCTCACCAAGTTTCGTTGGACACGATTAAATCATGTCAGCAGGGAAGAACCTCCCTACCTCACCCCAGAAATTGTTGACACTCCTGGACGGGACAGCTGTGTTCACACAGTGGTCATTTGGGACAGAGAGCGTTCCTGTGGCCACTGCTGTGAAGTGACCCCGGGCCGAGAAGGGGCTCCTCAGTCCAGACTTGAAGCCCACTGCATGGGCCCGCCGTGGCCACACCAGCAGCTGTGTGGTCCGTCTGCCCAGCTCCATCCAGGGTGTGGTTAGTGAACAGCAGGCCAGGGGTGGCCCTCACTATGTCCCACGTCCAGACACGGGCAGTGGCAGAGCTGCCTCCGACCCCTGTCCAGGGCCAGGACTTCTGCATGAGGATGCTCAGGCCAGCATCAGCACCCTGGGCCGGCTCTCAGAGTAAGAGGAATTGTGGGGGAAGCGCCCCTGCCCCGCCCCAGCAGCCCCCAGGCACCAGCAAAAGCCAGCAGCCATTCTGGAACAGGGCAGACCCAGCCCGGGCACGTGCAGTCCACGAGCTCAGAATGGCTTCTATTGTGTGGAACGGCAGAGAAAGAAAAAAGGGCATTTCCGGACCCATGAAAACATGAGGGTCAAGTGTGTGTCCCTAACAGGTTCACTAGCACACAGATACCCCTTTGTCCCCACTGTCTGTGCCCCTGCCCTTGACAGTGTGTGCCAACCCCTATACTAGAACGGACCTATTCTAGAACAGTCCGGAAATGGGAGTTTTCAGGCAGCAGAACCGGGTTAAAGGATCCACATTAAACCACATTTCCTGGTTTAAAAAACGACTTCAGGTTCCAAATCAGACATGCCTCTCATGTCCTGTAACAGGTGTATCTACGTGAACTGAACTTAATTTTAAAGTGTGATACACTAAGAAATCTCACTCTTCACTAGGAGCCCCACAGTGAATTATTTCAACAAAACAAAGTTTTGCACTGTATGTGATCGCAGCTGCTCCATCCACGGGCAGGAGGGGAGTGTGGTGGGGGAGCCAGAGCTGAGCTGCCTGCCTGCCAGAGGAACCCAGGTGCAGGGAGGTAAGGCTACTTCCCGGGTCTGCGGTGAGCTCAAGAGTGATCCCGAAAGCCACATCTGCCTCGACCCACAGAACCTGGGAGTGGGACCTTATTTGGAAAGGGGTCTTTGCAGATTTACTTAATTAAGGATCTTGACATCACCCTGGATTTAGGGTGGGCAGTAAATTCAACGACCGGTGTCCTTATAAAAAGAGACGGGAACAGAGATATGGGAATGAGGCCAGGTAAAGACGGAGGCAGAGACCGCGGCGTGCGGCCACAAGCCAAGGGCAACCAGGCCCCGGGAGCAGGAGGAGACAGGGAGGGCCCTCCCCGAGCCTCTGGAGAGAGGCTGGCCTGGCCGCAGCTGAGATTTTAGACTTCTGGCCTCTAGAACTGGGAAACAGTCCAGCTCTGCTGTCTCAAGCCTCCCAGTCCGTCGTCAGGGGTTACTGCGCCCCGGACACCAAAGCAGAAACCAGCTCTCACCTCTCCCTTCTCACACCTGCCCTGCCTCCCACCGCAGCAGACAGACAAGACGTGGGTAGCATGGAGCGGGGAGGGGAAGAAACGAAGGCGCACCGGTGCTTCTGCTCGGGAGAGGCCCCCAGACCAAGATCCCAAAACAAGACCAGGCTGGGGAGAGGTCATGGGTTCAGCTGCAGCTCCTTTCAGCTGCAGCTCCTTCCAGCTGGAGCCCACCAAAATGTTCCCCGTGAGCAAGCGGCTGACGGAAAGTACGCTTCAGTACATCTTGGGCCTTTTGCAGCAGAAAAAACAAAGGGGGCGGGCTGGGCGCAGGGGCCCGCACTTGTAATCCCAGCACTTTGGGAGGCCAAGGCCGGGAGTTCGAGGCCAGCCTGGCCAACATGGCGAAATCCCGTTTCTACTACAAATACAAAATTTAGCCGGGTGTGGTGGCAGGCGCCTGTAATCCCAGATACTCTGAAGGCTGAGGCAGGAGAATCGCTTCAAGAGAGAATCACTTCCCTTGAACCCAGGAGGCGGACGCTGCAGTGAGCCAGGATGACGCCACTGTGCTCCAGCCTGGGCAACAGAGCAGGGAACAAACAAAAACAATCGAGAGGGCAGGTCACACACGCTGACAACATTCCCACGCCTCGGCCCGCCTGTGCGGCGGTCACGCCTGTCATCCCAGCACTGTGGGAGGCCGGGTTGGGTGGATCACGAGGTGAAGAGTTCAAGACCAGCCTGGCCATCATGGTGAAACCCAGTCTCTACTACAAATACAAAAATTAGCCAGGCATGGTGGTGCAAGCCCGTAATCCCAGCTACTCGGGAGGCCGAGGCAGGAGAATCGCTTGAACCGAGGAGGCGGAGGCTGCAGTGAGCCGAGGTTGGGTCAGTGCACTCCAGCCTGGGTGACAGACCGAGACTCGGTCTCAAAAAAAAATTCCCAAGACTAAAGAAAAACAGCCAGATCCATAATTGTATGCAGGGTGCCATCTTATCTACCTCAACACGACATCATGCCCAGGAATGGTTCTGAAACGCACAGGAAAAGTTCTAGGAAGTTTGGGAGAGCCGGGAAGGGCGCTCGCTGCTGCGGGGAGGGGCTGGGAGACCGGGTGGCTGCGGGAGACCGGCTTCGTTTTTTCTGTTTAGGCATCTTAAACGCTGCTGACGGGAAGCCACTGGCAGGGTTCAGGCAGCCTGCTCCTGAACACCACACCGAAGGCCGCGCGGGCGCTGCGCCCCACGCCCTACCTGCTGCGGACGTCCTTGGTGCGGATGGGCGCTAGGAGGCTGAAGGAGGATTTGGCCGAGCGAAGGGAGCAGTCGTCGCAGGCCAGGGGGCTCCGGGGCCGGGCGGGGCCCAGGCTGCTGTGGGCGCGCACCAGGCGGGGGTGCGCGCGGAGCTTGTAGTCTGCAAGATCCGGGTCGACCTTGTTTGCGGTCCTCAGGGAGTCGGAGGCGATGTCCAGGCCCAGGGCAGGCAGGGGGCGCGGGGGCAGCAGGCTGGCCAGCCTGGGCGAGCTCCCCGCCACGGTGGCGTCTCCGTGAAGGAGGTTCGGGGCGCTGCTGGCCACCCCGAAGAGGGGGTCACCCCCCGATGACGGGCCCCCCCTCTCACTGCCCGGGACCCTGCGGGACTTGGGGATCTCCTGCAGGGACGCGCTCAGGCAGGGCGGGGAGCAGCTGTGGGCGGGGGCGCCGGGGCCATCGCTCTGCACCGAGCCCCTGGAGGGGCTGGTCCCATTCCTGGCTTCCAGGTCTTCCTGGCTGCCTCGAAAACGCCGCCTCCTCCAGCTTCTGTCGTCCAGGGACAGGGCTCGCTCCAGCCGAGGCCTGGCGGGGGGCCGCGGGGCGATGGGTACTGCCTGGGCCGGGGTTTCCTCGCCGCTGAGCGTGGCCGGAGCGCTGCAACCCAGAGCGGGGCTCTCGGGGCCCGGAGCGTCGGGTGGGGACCCCTCGCGCGGGGCCAGCGCTCCGTCGGCGCCGGGAAGCGGTCCCTGGAGCATCCTCCCTTCCGGCGGCCGCGGGGCCGGCTCCGAGGGCCGCAGGCTCGCCGCCTTGGACGGCATAGTCGGGCCCTCCCGGGAGGGGTCACGGGTGCCGGGTCCGGGGTCGGTGGCGCAGCACGGAGCCGAAAGGCCGCAGCGGCTCCCGCTCGGGCCGGGAGTGGTCGCGGAGGGGCGGGGGCGGCTGCCGCATCGCCCGGACCCCGGGTACCGCGGCCCCTCCGGGCTCCCCGACGCCGATCCCAGGGCGGGCCGCAGGCAGGGCCTGAGAGGACAGGCGGGTGGGCGCTGTCGCGGATGAGGCTCGACCGCGACCGGAACGCCGCCTGGGAGGAGGGCAGGACCCGGGCAGCCCGGCCGGACCCGCAGACTCGAAGCCGACCTCGTACTCGCGCCCGCGGAGGCGGAGTCTGCCCGACTGGGCCCTAGCAACGACCGCCGCGGGCCCGCGCCCGGTCCCCGGCCCCGCCCCCGCGCCCAGTCTCCGCCCCGCGCGCCGTCCACAGCGGCCCCTGGCGGCCGGAGGACCGCGCCGCGCGGGGCCCGGACAGGGCTCCCACGCCCCCCCAACCCGCAGCCGGGCAACCCGGCAGGTCCCGGCGAGGACCTGGGCGAGGGCCAGGCCTGCGGACACCTGCACTCACGCGCTTCTAGCAAACCAAAGGGAACCACAGGTGAAGGTGCTTGAAGGAGCGCAAAATATTTTATTCAACAATTTGCAATGTAACAATTCGCATTTAGGAAAAATAGCTGCTTCCGCCTGGAGGAAGCTTCTTGAATCAAAAATCGTGGCAGTCGACCCCAGAACAGCAGGCAGGGCGGACCGGAGGAGGTCCCTGGAACCACACGAGCTGACCAAGGGACAGAGCGGGCTGCCCCGTCACAGGGACAGGCCTTTCTCCAAGTGACAAGGACAAATGGATCAGGCAGACACGCCTGTGAAACATCCTGGGGGTCTCTGCTAAATGATCAAGTGAAACAGAAAGCCAGGAAGGGCCCGTGCTGATCCCACATTCTACCATTTCTACACTGAAATTTAAAACACCAACCCGCAGAAATTATCTATTGAGTTTTATTAGTATTTAAATCTTTTGTCTCTTTAGACATAACAAGGATATGAACAGTTTTCAGAACAGTCAGAGAAGCCTTAAAGCTTTGCATCAGCGTTGAACTCTGAGTTCCACAGGGCTAAGTCCACCAGGACATCGGGACAGAAATACCAGGTGCCAGAGCTGCTGTCCCCAAGATGCTACCGACCCCTAAGCCAGTGTCCCCCGGGTGAGAAAGTGGGTCACATGGCCTGCAGCACGGAAAGTGCTCACGGAAGGGGGAAGGGCAGCCGTTTAGAGAACGGCATCCAGCCTCCTTAACAGTGAGTCTAAGCAGCTCCCACACGCAAAATGAAGCCCAAATCAAACGTCACAGTTGCGTTTTCACCCCAGATGGCCACCCGGAGCCATCACGTCAGACAGTCGGCTCCTTCCCAGTGACTGGGCCACACCTGGTGGGTGGGTGGTGGCCAGCACTTTGGGTGCACAGAATCACCTATGGTCCTAATAAGGGCACAGAAGGGAAAGCAAGGCTGGAAATGTCTTTGCAGCAGGAGAGAAAGTCACTTCAGTAACTAGGGCCTCTCTCAAAAGCTGTGAACTGACACTCAACGAACCCCGCGGCTCCTCCGAGACGCTGAGTGAGAACACAGTGCCCTCCCCTCATTCAGCCAGGTCCAAACATGGTGAGTGCCCCGCTGGTGCAGAGCAGGGTTTGGGGTCCCCCTCAGCCAGTTGCTCTTTGGTCCCGGCACCTTAAAGGAAGCTCGGGACTCACAGCTGAGCTTGGAGAGGCAGGCCTGTGGTTACCACCGAGCACGTGGCTCTCCTGTGGCAGAGACAGCATCAGCGTCAGGGAATGAAGCATTCTTAAACGAGCAGGAATGCTACACCCTTCAATCACCCGAAGTGACTAAGAAAGTCACGTCATTCTTTTCGGCAGACACTTCTGAGTCAAAGGTTCAGTCTTTCCATCAGCATCTGAAAGGACGGTGGAATTAATTTTCAAAATAATTCATTAGGATGGGTGGGGAGCGGGAGGTGCAACGTGCGACCAGCTTGGCATCACAGCTGTGTCTCTCTGGGGACAGGGCAGCAGTCACGGCAGTCAGTCGGGTTCTTGGGGAGAACAGCAGTGTCAGGGCTCCAAGTGCAAGTTCACAGTGGGGCGAGCCTAGTTCAGTACCGGGTGCTTCCTCTGGCTGATCCGTCCTAGCCTTGAGCTCCCAGAGGTGCCACAGGCCTGCAACGAGACCCACAGCACCCACCTCTGCATCCAGCTCCCAGGGCAGGCAGCACTCAGGTGTAGTGGGGCAGGGTGCTGGTCTATAGAATGCACCACGTGGGCCACTGATGCCGACAAGCTGAGGGGTTAGCTTTTGTTTCTAAAAGTCTCTGGGACCTAATGAGTCAGTGCCAAGCCCTGGGCTGCCTTGAAAGCACTGAATCCTTAACCATCAGTGTTTGCTGTGAGGGTGGCCAGGAGGTGCTGCAGTTTTGTCAGGGGCGTGGAACCTGGAGCTGCTCTGCAGAGCCAGAATGGCTGTCCAGAGTCCAGGGAGGGGCAGTGGCCAGGCCTGGCCTGCTGCAGGGGACGCGGGGACCCCAGGAGCATTCAGCCGGCCGATGCAGGCATCTGCTCTTGCTCCCTCACAAAGCCTCACTCAGGGGAAAGCCAAGGAATTTTTGTAAAGGCACAAACTAGACAATACAGGGAGCAGGACAATCCCCAAATTGGGGGAGTGACTTTCTCTCCTGCTGCAAATAGAGCCGCGGGGTTCATTGAGTGTCAGTTCACAGCTTTTGAGAGAGGCCCTAGTTACTCAAGTGACTTTCTCTCCTGCTGCAAATAGACTACTCTGGATGTCAAGAGCATGTGAGGCCCAGAGGGTGAGCTGGGGTGACAATGGAGCTGAATCCCAAGACGCCCCCGACCTTGGTCCCCACTCAGTTCCCCACACTAGCCTCCAGTCTACACTCCACAGGCAAGGGAAGCGGGAGAGACGAGGCTGAGGGAGGGAAACCACAGGAAACTTTCTGGAACATTCTCCAGCTGAAGGGGGCTGAGGGTATAGAAGCCTGCTAGTCCCAGGGGACAGGACCCTGAGAGGGCTGCAGGCAGAACGGCCCTGGGGTCTCAGCAGCCGTGGGCTCCAGGAAACCTATGAGCACCTACAGTTCTGAAGAAAACAACATGGGCCCAAGAATTCTACCTGCCGACCAACCCGCCAGAGGGAGAAATGTGGCTTCAGACACGAAAGGCTTCTCCCAAGTCACCCCGGGACCTTTGGTCAAGAAACTACTAGGAAAAAGAAATAAAAATCATCCAGGCTGGGCACAGTGGCTCACGCCTGCAATCCCAGAACTTTGGGAGGCCGAGGTGGGCAGATCACAAGGTCAGAAGATTGAGACCATCCTCGCCAACATGGTGAAACCCCATCTGTACTAAAAATACAAAAATCAGTAGGGTGTAGTGACGTGGTGCCTGTAGTCCCAGCTACTCAGGAGGCTGAGGCAGGAGAATCTCTTGAACCCGGGAGGTGGAGGATGCCACTGCCCTCCAGCCTGGGTGACAGAGTAAGACTCTGCCTCAAAGAAAAGAAAAGAAAGAGAATTCAGGGAAGAAAGCTGCCGTTCACTGAACAGCAGGGCCAGGAAGTCAGCGGGCATGTCAGGGTCTTGTGGGAAAAGGCAAGGGCACTCACCTGTGCCGGCTGAGCAGGGTTGTAGAAGGGCACGGCCCCGCCAGGAGGGCCCCCTGCAGCAGGGTCACCAGGAGCCTGAGAAGCAGAGAGTCGCCTCAGTAGGGCTGCGCTGCACAGCAGCTGGCATTTCAACTGCTGATACAGATGCCACCTCTACGTAGGATTTACAGGACTTTTAAAGAAGCTACAGAAGCAAGTTGGAGACAGTTCTTGCAATACTGCATTTAGTTACTTAATGGTTCATGGAAAAATGGTGAACATAAAGCAACGTGCAGAGCCAATGTTTGAAGCACGGCAACAATGTTTGAAGTGCACAGGGAGGCACGCACTGAGCAGGCGAGGCAGTTAGGAGGTGTGGGCGCTGCAGACCCAAGGCTCCAGCCATGACAGGGCTCTCCTACGCAGGTGGAAGGGTCACAGCAAGCCTTCCTGCTGAGCCAAGGTGACAACTGGTGCTGTGACAGGCCGACTAGCAAGCACTCCTTCACCTCCCTCCCACAGTGGCTGCAGGACACTGTCACTGCTGCACTCGCCCCGGCCTCAAACCAACCTTCTCGTGCTTGATCAGAAAGGAGAAATCTTCCTTCCAAAGGAGAGCACACTGATCCAAGAAATACTCCCAGATCGAGGTCACACCTCCAACCCATCATTGGAAAAACCAATTTGGAAGGAGAAAAATGACAGAACCCACTCGTTCACTAGGACACTCGGGCTCAGTCCAGTCGCCTGGTACATGTGGACACTGAACAACAACCCCTCTTTAAGGCCATTTAAAGGAACACTGCAATAATCCCAGCACTTTGGGAGGCCGAGGTGGGCAGATCACCTGAGGTTGGGAGTTTGAGACCAGCCTGACCAACATGGAGAACCCCATCCCTACTAAAAATACACAATTAGCCAGGCATGGTGGTGCATGCCTGTAATCCCAGCTACTCGGGAGGCTGAGGCAAGAGAATTGCTTGAACCCGGGAAGTGGAGGTTGCAGTGAGCTGAGATTGTGCCACTGCACTCCAGCCTGGGCAAAAGGCGAAAATCTGTCTCAAAAAATAAAAAAATAAAAACAGAACAGTGCACTCCTGGTCACTTGACGCTGAGGGGACAACGGGCGAGGTTAGTGGCAAAGCGCATGCCACAAACCAGCTCAGGAACACAGGCCGCACACGTGAGCTCTGTTAGTGAGGACCGCCAGCCGCAGGTACCTGATTAAAGTGCTGGCTCACTTCATGTGATAATGAACTCATTGAACTACAGCGTGAAAGCTACAAAACAGCAAGAACACACAGAGACACGGACAGAGTCAACATGCAGTCACTGCTGCAAGCCATCAGTTCCATTTCAACAGCTTGTGATGCCACTGGAATCAACAGGATTCAGAAGAGAAAAAGCCAGGGTTAGCTTAAGATTCCCGTCTTCATGTAAAGCTGATATTCCGACCACCATTAGCTTTGGGGAGGGTCACGAGGAGAAGCCCAGCCTCAGCCTCAGCCAGCTTCACCTCCTGACACCTCGCAGTTCAAGACCATTCCCTGCAACTGGGAGGAGAGGACGCTGACTGTGGCGGCAGCTCAAACCCCTTGTACCCTTCCCAGAGCTCAAGTTTTGTTAAAACAAGTGCCATTTTTTTTTCTAGGAACACCATCTTTGAAGTGTCATGTTTCTAAACTGCCTCTTCCTACCCAGTATCACCCTCTGTAAAGAAAGAGGTGCCTGGACAGTGAGCTGCTGGGGAAGCCTGGGCTGCGGGGGACCGGGCTTCGGCACTCCTTACCTCTCCTCCCTGGGACCCCTCGGGCCTGGAGGAGGGGAACTCAGAGCCAGGAAGTGATGCTGCAGAACTTAAAACCTGCTGAGATGAAGAAGAATTGCAGCAACCAAATCCCAGGGAATTCTCACACCAGGCCGAAAAAGACATCACTGTCCTGGCCTGGGTTACAAACGCCTCTTCCACGCCACGTGCTCCACGGTGAGAAGTAAAGAGTGAGCGCATCCCCTGTGGGGTCCCTGCCACACTCGCCTGTTGGCTCTAGACCCCAGCAGCTCTCTACCAAGGCCTGTGCGTGCCTACACGGGTCGCAAGGCCCCATGACAGCCTTGCAATCTGGTGCTACTGTTACTCCCATTTTACAGAGGGGAAACTGAGGCTTAGAGAGGTGAGTGACTGCCCACCCCAGGCTTTACACAGCTGATGAATGGAACAGCATTAGACCCAGGTCTGTCCAGCCTCAGAGACTGCAGTCGGAGCTGCTCCTTCCTTTTTTTTTTTTTTGAGATGCAGTCTCGCTCTGTCGCCCAGGCTGGAGTGCAGTGGCCCAGTGCAACCTCTGCCTCCTGGGTCCAAGTGATTTGGCCTCAGCCTCCCAAGTGGCTGGGACTACAGGCACCTGCCACCAAACTGGGCTAAATTTTGTTATTTTTTAGTAGAGACGGGGTTTCATCAGGTGGGCCAGGCTGGTCTCCGTAAACTCCTGACCTCAAGTGACCCGCCCACCTCGGCCTCGCAAAGTACTGGGATTACAGGCGTCAGCCACTGCTGGCCTGAGCTGTTCTACTTCACATGCGAGTCATTTTTCTTTTTAGATGAAGATACACTTTGCTTTATTATCGGTAGGTAATTTCTTTTTAACTTAAAGTAATTATTTTTTCCAATTAAAAAAAACTGTCAAATACATATACCATAAAATTTGCCACTTGAAGCATTTTTCAGTTTTAAGCACATTCACAGTGCTGAGCAGTCATCACTGCCAGCAACCCCCGGTCTCCATCTCCCCGACAGCTCTGTCACGCCTGGCACCCACCCTTCTACCTTCATCTCTATCACACCCAAGTGTGAAGCATTTCAGATGGCGCACTCTCTGCGCACACACTGATTTGTCCGGCAGGACAGGGAGGTGCCTCTTGCCAGGTGCCTTTCCCCGCTTTCCCACAGCACCCACTCACCTTGGACTCTGGGGCAGGTTCTGGATTGGCCAGGCCCCTAGCTGGTGCTGGTCCTTCCCTGACAGCCCCATCTGGAAGCTGTGGTTCTTCTGCATCTGGGAATGAGAGAGTAAGGAAGCCATCATTCCGTCCAGAACATCCCTGGGGTCTCACTGAAGACACCCCGAGAGGAAGAGAGTTTCACACAGCACACTCCTGCAGAAACAGGCAAATCATAAAAAAAACCACAAACCAACCCAGGCTCTGCAGGCTGGCCAGGTCATTCTTCTAACAGGAGATTTGGGAGAGACTCACAGAAAGAGGATCAAAGATCAGGTGACTGGGGCGCTGACCCAAAGGGGCTACACCGTGCTGCCTACCCGGGCTCGGCACGAACAAGTTAGAAGGAACCGGGAGTGGTGCAAGCGGAGCGACAAAGTCCGCAGGAGCAAGCGCTGGCTCACTCCGCTGGGCCCCGCTCGGGTTCAGGACATCAACGTAGCGAGCTCTGGTTCCAGCTGCAAAGGGGAAGGAAGCAAATTCAGGTGAGCACACCAGCCAGGCGGCCTTCAGCGTCCAAACGCTCCACACTCGCTGTGTCAGAGAAAAAGCAGGCAGAGATATCCCAGAAGCCATCTGTGGCCCAACCCTGAGGACACCTTTCTACACAGCAGATTTGTTTCAGCTTTTGGCCCTGGGGTGGTTCCCTCTCTCATACCACTGTGCCACAGGTCCTGTGCTTCCGATGGATGGGACATGGCTGTGCCCACAGCTTGTCAACACTCTGGAGAGCTGCGCTGGTCCCCAAGGATGCCTCCTCGTGACACCAGCATCAGCTTCCACAGTGTGACACCCATCACCTCATCCCACGCACAACAGCTACACGTCGGCCTCTCTCTGGGACAGTTCATCGTTCAAGCAAGACCACTCCAAGGCCACCCTTACCTGCTCTTCTAGAGAACATGTTCACGGGCCCTCCAGGAGGCCCTTCGAGGCCAGGCGGGGCAGCTGGCACAGCCTTGGGAAAGGAGGTTGGAGGTGGGGGAAGAGCCTTCTTCTGCAGAGGGAAAGACAGCCTCAGACACCCACTGGACAGCAAAGCGAGGACACTCCTCCAGGAGCACCAGCGCCCAAACACCACAGGGGCATGGGAGGCTGTCCCCTCATTCACAGCTCACACCCAACAGTGACCACAGTGACTATTTACCTCCTCTTCTGGCTCATTTAAATTCACCCACTGGTTTTTCTTTTCATCCCAAACAATCTGCCAAGATTTTAAAAAGAAAAAAGGTCAGTAGACTGAAGTGAAACAGAATTAGAATGTGAGTAACAATGACACTTCAAAATTTCAGGAAACACCTACTCAGGTCTGCTCTGAAAGTGACAGAAAAATCATTATAATTCCTTGGACGTCCCCTGGGCCGTACTTGACAGCACTCACCGATTTGTTCTTGTCATCTGGCAAATAAGCTTCTGTCTTTCTCTTCCCATGTAGCAAACGAGATAACCAGGATTCACTCTAAATGTAAAAATCACCACAACAACCTTGAAAACCTTATGTTCCATGAAACGAGCCAGATGCAAAAAGAGCAACGCTACAGGACCCACTTCTGCAAGGCCTCAGCGTCGCCAGAGCCAGATACCGGGTAGATGGAGGTGGGGGCACAGAGTTGTTTCGTGGGGACAGTTTCTGTTTGGGGAGATGAGAAAGCTCTAGAGATGGTTGATGGTGACGGTTCCACTCAATGTGAATGTGCTCAGTGCAAAGAACTGTGCTCTCAGAAATGCTTCAAATGCTGCATTTATTCTATGTGTACTTTACCATAATTTAAATAGATCAGAACAATAATGTGCCTTCAGGAGCTTCTTGCGACACTGACAATGCTTCCAACACCTGCCCCTTTGAAAAGTGGAAGGCAGGCTGTGCAAGTCAGTGTGTCTGAGGCACACACAGCCCCGGTGTTTCCCAGGCGCAGGGAATTAGGTTATTAGGAAAATTTACTTTATCCTTCACATGATCACTTCATTTCTACTAGAGAAAGAGGAGAAGCCTCAGCAGCTACTCCACACTCTCAGCTCTGTTCTCTGCGAGTTCTACTGGCCAGACAAGCCTGTGCGCTGGAAACCTGCTCAAGTATCCTGTTTCACCTCAGAGTTCTCATACACTTGGAATTAAATGTGTGTTTATTTTCAAGACAACAGCCATAAAAGAAAAACCTCATCACTAAACTCTATTAAAACAAGGAACAATATTCTTCATAAGATACCATTACTGGGCGGGCAACGGTGGCTCACACCTGTAATCCCAGCACTTTGGGAGGACCCGAGGTGAGCAGATCACCTGAGGTCAGGAGTTTGAGACCAGCCTGGCCAACATGGTGAAATTCTGTCTCTACTAAAAACAGAAAAATTAGCCAGGAGTGTTGGTAGGCGCCTGTAATCCCAGCTACTCAGGAGGCTGAGGCAGGAGAACTGCTCGAACCCAGGAGGTGGAGGTTGCAGTGAGCCAAGATCATGCCACTGCACTCCAGCCTGAGTAACGGAGTGAGACACAGCCTCAAAAAAAGGAAAAAAAAAAAAAAAAGAAAACAAAGATACAGTTACAAGTAAAAAGACAATCTAGAGATCAGCAGATGCTATCACGATGACTGTGTCTACATCTGCAATACAGAAAGGACCTCTGCAGGTCACTAAGAGAACTCCATTAAAAATGAAGAGGTCGGCTGGGCGCAGTGGCTCACGCCTGTAATCCCAGCACTTTGGGAGGCCGAGGCGGGTGGATCACAAGGTTTAGGGATCAAGACCATCCTGGTCAACATGGCGAAACCCCCGTCTCTACTAAAAATACAAAAAATTAGCTGGACATGGTGGCGCATGCCTGTAATCCCAGCTACTCAGGAGGCTGAGGCAGGAGAATTGCCTGAACAGAGGAGGTGGAGGTTGAGGTGAGCCAAGATCACGCCATTGCACTCCAGCCCAGGTAACAAGAGTGAAACTTCGTCTCAAAAAAAAAAAAAAGAAGAAGAGGTCAGGTGCGGTGGCTCATGCCTGTAATCCCAGCACTTTGGGAAGCTGAGGTGGGTGGATCATGAGGTCAGGAGACTGAGATCATCCTGACTAACATAGTGAAACCCTATCTCTATTAAAAATAAAAAAATGAAAAAAAAATTAGCTGGACATGGTGGCACATACACGCCTGTAGTCCTAGCTACTCAGGAGGCTGAGGCAGGAGAATGGTTTGAACTTGGGAGGCGGAGGTTGCAGTGAGCTGAGATTGCACCATTGTACTCCAGCCTGGGCAACAGAGCAGGACTCTGTCTCAAAAATAAAAAGTGGGGGAGGAAAGCCAGGTGTGGTGGCTGCAGCTGCAGTCCCAGCTACAAGGCAGATGAGGATCACCCGGGCCCAGGAGTTAGAGTTCAGCCTGGGCAACATAGTGAGACCCCATCTTTATGGAAAACAAAATGGACAGAGACTTGAACAAGCACTGTCTCAAAAGAGCAGTGAGATGGAACAGGCAGAGAAGGTGCTAGCGTCCTACCTCGCTGGGGAGAGGCAGAGTAAGACACAATGAGATGTCATCAACCCAGCCCAACTGCTTTGAAAGGCCTGGCACTGCCCAGTGCTGGTGAAGACAAGGGACGGCTGGGGACCTTGTCCTCTACTGCAGGATGTGTGACTTGGTCCAGCCATGTAGGACAACTGCTTAGCAGCGTCTCCTAAAGCTGAACATAGGCTCATCTTGCAACCTAAGCCCTCCACTCCCCAGCACACGCCTCAGAAATACAAGCACATTCCCCAGGAGACAGGCAGGAAGGCTCCTGGGGCCTGACTGGTTCCAGCCCCACACAGAAAGCAGTCCCAACGCCCACAACTAGGAGAAAGGATCCGGAAGCCGGTGGCAAGCACACGCCACAGTGACAAAGGAGTGGCTGCCGTCTAGCCCCTTGCGGGTGTGTCTGATAGTCAATGCCTAGAGGGGACCTCTGGGGGCCAGGCCGTGTCCCTATGCTGACCTGGGTGGGCAGCTATCTGAGGGTACCAATACACAGACACCCACCACGCCATGTGCACTTCACGAGCTCGGCTGTTTGATTCAGAAGGGTGAAGCTTGCGGTTGAATGAGGAGGATGGTGCGCTGGGAAGCATGCCCCCAGCCCAGACCCTCCCGGCCGCCAGGTGCACGTGGGCGCTGTACTACCTTCTTAGTGTCCTTTGTCTCTTTCTTGGTTGCTTGTCCGTGTCTCTTCGTTTCAGGAGCAGGTGAGAGAGACAGAGGTGGCTGCGTCGGACCCGAGTCAGCATGATCCCACCCTGGGGGGACCTCCGAATGAGGGCGTTCACTGGAGATTTGGGGCTGGAAGAAGTGGAGCGTGGGCACTCACTGAGGGTAAGACTGGCCAGGGTGGGTGGTGGGCATTCTCAAAGATACAGTGATATTTACAAATATTTATTCCTGGCTCCAGTCCCAGTTTTTAATAGTTCAACCCTCATTTTTACTTTTCTGGGAACATAATGTTGTAAAGGGTAAAACACCTAATTCGAGTTCAAGCTACAGTAACCGCCTGCTGATGGGAGGCCCATGAAGAGCTGACTATCTGTAAAGAAGGTTCCAGAATGCAGTCTGTATAAAAGCAACCATCCCTCCAGGTTAGGAGCAGAGTAAATAGGGGAGGTATTTATACCAAACACATCTGATCAGACAAATCTCACTTTCCGGAAAACCAGTGAAAATGTTAAAAATTCTTTTGTATTCCAGGACATCCTCTTGTGAGAAAAAAAAATTAGAGATTCTGTAGAAAAACAGATGGCCAGGCACAGTGGCTCACGCCTGTAATGCCAGCACTTTGGGAGGCCGGGGTGGGTGGATCATGAGATCAGGAGTTGAAGACCAGCCTGACCAACATGGTGAAACCCCAGTCTCTACTAAAAATACAAAAATTAGCTGGGCGTGCTGGCGGATGCCTGTAGTCCCAGCTACTCAGGAGCCGAAGGCAGGAAAACTGTTTGAACTGGGGAGGCAGAGGTTGCAGTGAGCCGAGATTACGCCACTGCACTCCAGGCAGCTGGGCGACACAGCCAGACTGTGTCTCAAAAAAAAAAAGGAAAGAGATGTGTGAATCAGGGAAGGTGCCCATTTTAGAAGAATTAAAATTAATCAGGGGATGTGACTGTATTTTGGAATTTCTCCTACTTAAAGTAACTGTTTCTCTGCTACTGAATTCTCTCTTCCTCATCTTTCCCTACCAGTGTTTTCACCAGCTCTTCATATTTGAAGGATGAAAGCTACTTAGAAGCACTTTTGCTTTAAGAAACAATTTCACAGTCCTCGCCACCATCATCCCACCTACACCTCAACAAGGAGTCTGGGTGCCCACTAGATGAACTTTATGGAAAACAAATAGTTGAAGAAAATGTGACAAAGTACCAGATTCGCAAATTTTCCAGCAAAATTTTCTTCGCTTAGCTCCGAAAGTGAGTTTCCAACAGGCACATCCTGCGGCACCGACCCTGTCAACGGGAAAGAGAACAAGTCAGACCTTAGTGCTGCCGGACGGGAACACAGGAGGCAGGACGTGTTTGGCGCCCAGACCGAGGCGCTGCCTTCCCACCCGGCTACCACCACACAGTGTGACTTCTCTTTTTTTGAGATGGAGCCTCGCTCTGTCACCAGGCTGGAGTGCAGCGGCTCGATCTCGGCTGACTACAACCTCTACCTCCCAGGTTCAAGCCATTCTCTGGCCTCAGCGTCCTGAGTAACTGGGACTACAGGCACGCACCACCACTCCAGGCTAATTTTTGTATTTTCACTAGAGACAAGGTTTCACCATGTTGGCCAGGATGGTCTCAAACTCCTGACCTCAGGTGATCCCCTCACAAGCGCTGAGATTAGAGGCGTGAGTCACTGTGCCCAGCCAACTTTTATTCTTTAAAGGTAGGCTTATGTTTTGCTTTGTCAATATAGACACAGACCAGGGACAAGATCTACCAAACTGACTTCCAGACAGAAGTTCATAACCTGACCCGTGCGTGTTACCAGGCGTTTAGAAGGACCATCTGAAGACAACTCCTGGGACAGCCACAGCCACCGTGCCCTGCCCTGAACAGCCATTTAAGCCTCGCATCATGAAAAGCCGACTTACAAAAGAAACTACTACTAACCCTGCTGTCACAGCGAGACTCCTAAGCCGTCCAGTCTACTAACTGCCAGGAGTTTTGGTCTCGTTAAGACAAGTAATTAACTTGTTACAAGGTCAAATAAATTCCATCTCTTCCACCAATCCCCACAAACCCCATACCCAACACTGCTTCTGCTCTCAAGACAGCATCTGTGCAGCCCCACCTGGGTCTGGGCTCCTGGCTTCCTGAAGCAGGTGTCTCCTTTCCTGGAGAGGTGGCACGCCAGATGGCAGGCCAGGCCCCAGGCCCAGAGTTGCAGGATCAGGCCTGGAGGGATCTGGGAAGCCAAGTGCAGACCCTGCAGTCACACAGCCAGGACCCGGCTCGAGGGGCCCCAGGGGCGGTGACACTGGGAACATTGGCACCCCGGCAGGACTGGCCAATGGGCCATCAGGGAGCGTTGGCGGAGCTGCATGGGAACAGTGGAGAAGAGAAGGTCACTGGAAGGAGCTGACGCTAGACACATTTCGGACAGGTTAGTTTGCACAGGCACATTGCTTTTATAAGGGAGATCCAGTAAAGCCAAAGGACCTGAAGCCACCATCCCATCTGAACCATCAGTGGTTTGGAAAAAAGCGGAACATTTGCTTCCTTTCTAGGAGTGGGGCAGGATGAACGCCTGTGTAGTCACTGAGCACCACGCAGGCTCCAGGGCACAGCCCGGCCTAGATGCAAGCCTACAGTGGCCACCTGGCCCAAAGCTATGCTCCATTTGAGTCCTCTCCTCCATGGCCAGGGGTCAAAACAGGCCACTCATTCATTCATTCCTCTAACTTGACATAAAACCAGGGAGGGCTGCTGCCTGTCAGTACTATGCTGGGCCCTGGATGTGTCAAGAACAAAAATACTGGGTTCCCATGGGGATGGGGACAGATAAACTGAGTGAGAAGAGAAAGTGCTAAGGAGAGCAATCAACCAGGGAGTGGTAATGGCATCTGAGGACGAAGTGGGGTGAGCCAGCAGAAAGCCCGGGCTTACCTGAGGGCAGCAGCAGCACGCTTGGGCTCGAGTGCTCAGGGCTCGGTGCAGGCACTGCCAGCAGTGGGTTGGCGATCCCCAGGGCCACCGGCTGACTGACTCCTGGCCCCTCCAACTGCTCCACCTCGGAGCTTGGCGTGCCAGGACACTGCTGTGGGAAGGCTCCGTCCTGAGGCCACACCATGGCCCCCTCCTGAGGGAGAACAAAGCCCACCTATGCAAGTAGCCTATGGCACTGCAGCCGGCACCTGCCCACCACCACCACACTGCTGTGTCCCCAACTCAGGACAATAGGGGGCACATACACCTTTTCTGGGGAATTAGGGAACTCTAGTAGGCACACATCTATAGTTTCGCTGTCTTTAAATAGGTACCGTCAGTGTGAAAATGACAGGGACAGAAACCACCTTGCCAAACACCTCTGTGCCACTCTGAACCAAGGCTGTACCTTGATCTGCCGCTCCACCTGCTGCAGGTGAACCAGCCAGGCAGGTGAGGTCAAGGACTCCTCTTCTGGCTTCTCTCTCAGCTGGGGATCAAAGAGTCGTAACTGGGAAGCCATCTAGACACGGGCAGAAATCAGAGGCCCTTGTCACCACCAGGTGATGGCAAGTGAGCCGTCTTCAAAACGCCCCAACTCTGGGGGCAATGCACCTGCAGTGTTACAGTGCAGATGAAGTTTAGTTAGCTGCACACGTTTCCAGCATGTGCTTAATGACACACCCAGCACATTGGATGCTGGGCAACTGTGGGAAGTTGCTGTAGATGACCTGTCCGCCCACATGCACTGGGACAGGCCAGGCCCAAGGCTGCAACGTGACCATGTGGAACTGACTCCGAAAAAGCTGGACTCACCTGAGAGCATCTGTGTGCTTTCATCGGGAATCTGGGGAATGCAGAGCAGGGTGCGGGTGGGGGCAGAACACAAGTGTGGCCTTGTGTTTTAAACACTGATGTGGGGGTAAGGACCTAAGGATGCATGAATAATTCTCTCAACTTTGAAATGGGTCTAAAAATGTCCTTAATAAGTTTTTTTGGGTATCCCATGAGCACATTCTTACAAACGCAACTACTGAAGAGAAGTAGAGAGTATGGCGCCTCCCACACTCTCTGCCAGTCACGCCGCCTCCGTTTTACAGGGGGAGAAAGTAAGGTCTGCGTGGTGTAGCCAGGACTCAAACAAAGGCTGCTGAATTCTGAACACTTAAGCTATCAACCACCAGACTAAGTTGCCTCAAAATAAGAATATCCTGGCCGGGCGTGGTGGGTCATGCCTGTAATCCCAGCACTTTGGGAGACCGAGGCAGATGCATGCATCACTTGAGATCAGGAGTTCAAGACCAGCCCGGCCAACATGGTGAAACCTCATCTCTACTAAAAATACAAAAAATTAGCTGAGCGTGGTGGTGAGCGCCTGTAATCCGAGCTACTCAGGAGGCTGAGGCAGGAGAATCGCTTGAATCTGGGAGGTGGAGTTTGCAGTGAGCTGAGATTGCACGACTGCACTCCAGCCTGTGCGACAGAGTGATACTCCATCTTAAAAAGAGTATCCTACAGACAGCTCCTCTGATGGTGAAACTTGCTGCCAAGGTTCTGTGCTGGCACATGGTGCCTGACAGTCCCCAGACTAACAGGCAAAACACAAAGCCATTCAAAGATCTTCACCTACCCAAGAGGCAGGTTCCAAGTGCCTACCACAAAGCGCGTCTGAACCCTCGGGGCACCACCCGGACGCCCAGGGGCCCTGGAAGCCCTCCTTCCCTGCCTGCGGGGGATGGGAGGGGCAGCACCTGCACAAGCTGGCTGATGAGCACCGGGGAGTGCTGGTGCGGCTGCGTCAGGATGCTCTTCGCGATGGCCTCGCAGTAGTGGAAGGCTTGCGTGGCCAGCCCCATTTCCGCCAGGCGGCAGGAGTAGATGAACTTAAACACCTGAAAGGACAGACGCAGCCCTGCTATACCGTGGCTCTCCCGCGTCCAAGCATTGCCCTGTGAGCTGCAGACTCTTCTGGACGCGTCACTCATCATCATCTCCCACCCCCATGCCCGCTGACCACAGTCCCAGTCCCTGTTCCCAAGGGATTTCAAGAGCAAAGTCAAGGACTAAGCCGGTAAGAACATCACTCTGCCTCCCCGCTAGTTCCTTTCATGTAACTGTGCGCACTGAGGCCACCGCCTTTCAGGCAGCGCAAGCTGCTCCACAGACGTTCTCTAGATATTTGAGTCTATTTTTTTTTTTTTGAGACGGAGTTTCACTCTTGTAACCCAGGCTGGAGTGCAATGGCGCAATCTCGGCTCACCGCAACCTCCACCTCGTGGGTTCAGGCAATTCTCCTGCCTCAGCCTCCTGAGTAGCTGAGATTACAGGCATATGCCACTATGCCCAGCTAACTTTTTGTATTTTTAGTAGAGATGGGGTTTCACCATGTTGACCGGGGTGGTCTCGATCTCGACCTTGTGATCCACCCACCTCGGCCTCCCAAAGTGCTGGGATTACAGGCGTGAGCCACCGCACCCGGCCCGTATTTTTTTTTCTTTTTTGACAGGGTCTTACTTTGTCACCCTGGCTGGAGTGATCACAATCACAGCTCACTGCAGCCTCAATCTCCTGGGCTCACGCTATCCTTTCACCTCAGCCTCTGAGTAGCTGGGAACCAGCGCATGCTGCCACGCCTGGCTGGGTTGCCCAGGCTGGTCTCTGGTTCCTGAGCTCAGGTGATCCACCCACCTTGGCCTCCCAAAGTGCTGGGATTATAGGCATGAGCCACTGAGTCCTGCCTCTCTCTCTACATATTTTATACACACCACCCCCACAGTGCATCAGAGAATACCTCCCTCAAATATTAAAATGGCTCATATGGGCTGGGCGTGGTGGCTCACACCTGTAATCCCAACACTTTGGGAGGCTGAGGGAGGAGGGCTGCTTGAGCCCAGGAGTTTAAGCAAGACCGTTTTTTTCTACAAAAAGTAAAAAACTTAGTGGGTCACAGTGTTGCATGCCTGTAGACTCAGCCACTCTGGAGGCTGAGGTGAGTCACTTGAGCCTGGGAGTGATCACCCCAGCGGACTCCAGGCTGGGCAAAGGAGTGAGATCCTGTCTCCTTAAAAACAAACGAACAAAACAGGCTCATGAAAGTCCTGAAATCAAATGCAAACGGAAATACCCAATTCAATGCGATGCAGTTTCTTAGCATTCTAGATCAAATGTCTTTTCAACATCCTCCCCTCAAAAAAAAAAAATCACACCATTTTTTCCATAAGAATTCAAAAAATCTGCTGGGCATTGTGGCTCATGCCTGTAATCCCAGCACTTTGGGAGGCTGAGTGGGGGTGGATCATGAGGTTAAGAGATCGAGACCATCCTGGCCAACATGGTGAAACCCTGTCTCTACCAAAATACAACAAAAAAAAAATTAGCTGGGCATGGTGGCGTGAACCTGCAGGGAGGCTGAGGCAGGAGAATTGCTTGAACCCGGGAGGCGGAGGTTGCAGTGAGCCGAGATTGTGCCATTGCATTCCAACCTGGGCGACAGAGAGAGACTCCAACTCAAAAAAAAAAAAAAAATCCAACCATCTAAGTAACCAAAAGCTTTTTAGACTGTGCGCCTGCGCTGCAGCAGGCTGGTAGCACCTCTTACCTGGAAAGTGGGCAGGGAGCAGGTCTGGGCCCCCAGGGACTGGGCGTACTCATAGGCCTCCGTCCTCTGGATCGCTTCATTGGTCGCAAACTTTAAGAATGGTAAACTACAGAGAAAGTGAATTACTTTGACTTGAGAAAAATGGACCATTATTGTCACAACCAACCTTGGAGAAAATCACCCAGAAGTCTGTCCCACCATGAGGCAAACAAAACCACGGTTCTGGCCATTTCTAAATTAACTAGAGAAAGATTTGTTTTGTTTTTTTTTTAACTTTTAAAGGAAAACTTACAGGACTACACTGACTTGATCCTTTACCTGTGATTTGATCCGATTAAGACAAGTTTTGTAGTTTTCTTTGTATAAACCCCAAATCCAACCTGGGCCATAAGGTAGCAAAAGTGTGCAGCATCTAAGAGGCCCTTGGAAGCTGGGGAGAGAAGAAACACAGGCAGAGCCTCAGTGGCTGGGAATGCTCGCAGAAGTTAAGGATGCACACAGAAGGTGCTCGAGACGACAGCTGGACCAAGAAGGCTGGGTTCTTGTGATTCCTGCCAATGCTACAGACAACCGAGCCTTCAGCGCTCCATGTACAACGCCCAACACCTGTCTCCACCCTGACCTACCCAGAGTGTCGCCCATGGTGGCCATCGTCCTGGACTCAACGTCCACGTTGTTGTTCAAGTTGGACAAGACCATGGCGAGGTGCGGCCTCCAATCTCCCCATTTCTCATCTCCACAGGACTAACGTGAGGAAGAACGAAACAAAGCCTCATTCCTGGAAGCCAGCGCTGCTCCAACTCCGCACAGCCGGGGTCACCAGCATGGGGAGGCGAGCAACTCCACAGCAGCCACCAGGCAGTGCCACTCACCGTGGACGCGGCAGGCATCCGCCCGGACATGAGCTGGTAGACAGTCTGAAGGGGATCGTTGATTGGGAGGCTGTTGGCAAACCTAGGCAGACATAAACACAGAAGGACCCTATGCTGGCTCGGCTAAAAACAAATCCGGCCGGCGTGGTGGCTCACCTGTAATCCCAGCACTCTGGGAGGCCAAAGCAGGCAGGTCACCTGAGATCAGGAGTTAGAGACTAACAAGGTGAAACTGCCTTACTGTCGCTACGAAAAACATAAAAATCAGCCAGGTGTGGTGGCACGCTCCTGTAATCCCAGCTACTCAGGAGGCTGAGGCAGGAGAATCACCTGAACCCAGGAGTCAGAGGTTTCTGTGAGCTAAAACAGCACCACTGCACTCCTGCCTGGGCGACAGAGCAAGACTCCATCTCAAAATAAAATATAATAATAATTAATTTTTAAAAACCCAACCTCAGCCCTCTGATGTAACGATGAGACTTATTCACTTAGGCAAAGTACACATATTCCAAGTACTTGGGAGCCCGAGGTGTGAGGATCACTTGAACCTGGGAGGCAGGGGCTGCAGTGAGTCGAGATTGTGCTACCGCACTCCAGCCTGGCGACAGAGCAAAACCCACAATCTAAGAAAAGTTACAGAAGATGAAGACCAAGGAATTCACTAAGATTTTAAAGGAAGTATTAAGAACCATGCAGTTAATAAGAAACTTTTTAAGCTCTCTGCAATACGACCCAAGGAAGCCTGCAGGTCAAGGAAGCCAGAGCTTGTGTGGGAGAACAGAGCCACGTGAGATCCGCTTGTCACCTGCGCTGCAGGGAGCCAGCAGAGCTGTGGACTGGGCTGGGCCACTGGGGGACTGTACCTGGTCATGACTCGGGCGTGCGTCCAGTTGTCCATCTTACTTGCAAGCAGTAGCGCGTGACCCCACAAGCCGTTCTTCATGGCAGACTCCAAAGCATCCTGCAAGGCATTTCAGGGGTTTGGTGGGTTATCGGAGGGGCTCACGTAACATGAGTCACGATGCTCCTCACACAGCAGCAGACACACAGACAACCCAATGGCCTCGAAAACGCACTTATTCACCACTTGGAGATTAAAGACATGTCAGCATTTCATTATTTTCCTGAGTTTCAAAGTCCCTGTGGTAGTGGGTATTTGTAGATATTCGCTGCTTTTATTACCCATTTTCAGCATAAAACACAAGCACGCTAATCACAAACAGGGATAACCACGCAGTGCTGCCTGCCAACTGCCCTGTCCACGGAGAAACACGCTCAAGTCAACTCCCCAGTTCCAAAAGAAGCCTCTGTGAATATCCTCCCAACGTGGACAGTGGCTTCAGTAAGGCAGCCTCACCTGTCGCCAAAGTAACTTGGGGTATAATTTAGAACTTCTGGCTAGGAGGCAAAAATGCTAGAGTTAAAGAAGAGGTTAAAAAAAGCTAACAGGTTACATGACTTCCACCAGTTATAAAACACCCATAATAGAATCATACTGATCAGGCGGGGCACGCCTGTGATCCCGACACTTTGGGAGGCTGAGGCAGGTGGACTGCTTGAGCCTAGGAGTTTGGAACCAGCCTGGCAACATGGTAAAATTCTGTCTCTAAAAAAATAAAAAATAAAAAAATAAATTAGCCAGGCATGGCAGCATGTGGCTGAGAAGGAAGAGGATTGCTTGAACCTAGGAGGTCATGATCACACTGCTGCACTCCAGCCTAGGCAAGAGTGAGACCCTGTCTCAAAAAAAAAAAAAAAAAAAAAATTACTGGTCAAATATGCCCTTTCTGAGTTTATCATGATATGAGAGGAGAGAGAGCTCTGGGCCTATCCAGTATCTCTGCTGTTCAGGGCCACACATGCCCATGAGCTGGCCTCTCTCCTGCTCCGCATGTCCAAAGTTGACATCATGCACCCTAGACAGGCCCTTCTGTGCAAGCACTGTCCCTGCTGTGGTCACTATGGACCCCTCAAACCCTACTCTCCCAGAGCAGGCTCCCGTCTCAGAACCCCCACCTGCCCCAGCACCCGCCCCCCCCCGACCCCGCTCTGACTGCAGTCACAGGACACTATATGCACTCACTGCCCGCCTAGTGGCAGCCTTCCCACACACTGAGTCTCTAACGGGCTCAGGGCATCCTCCCAACACCCAATGACTTCTGGGCTGTGTACTCGAGCCTGGCTCTGTGAGAATGCCACAACATCTCTCATGTACTCTGTATCCGAGACTCAGCACACACAGCGGGCAGGGGGGCACAGCCCATGCTCAACATGTGCATTTGTCAAATGACTGAACGTGGATGCTCCCGAGGAGGTGTGTCCCTCCAGACAGTGCATCCCCCCACCAGGCCCGACCCAGTGGACACGCGCCACAACAGGGACACACCTTCTTACGGCCATACAGCAACAGCTCCCGGAACCTCTCGGTCTCTCTCTCCAGCGAGCTGGCAGCAGCCATGGGACCACCAGTGAGGAAGGAGAGCTGGGCCTCGCCGGACTCCTCCTCTTCTACCTGCTCCACCGCCTCATTCGTGAAATCAATCAGGTTGGCCTCATTGGGTGACTTCCCAGGAAGCCACACTGTTCTGTGGTCTCGTAACAGAAGCTCCGCAATATCAGTCCCTACCACGGTCTGTTTCAGTCGAGAGGAACAGGAAGGCTCTCCAGTGAGGACGGGTGAGACCGCCATAGGCACAAAGTCCCACCCTGGACCTCGCCAGACCCGCAACTCCCCAAAGGCTGGCAGGGTTGGGCCGAAACCTCCTCTCAAACCAACCGCACACTCCCTCCCCTTCTGCACCCAGCCACTCGGGTGCACTGCCTAGGGAGCCCTCAAGGCTCCACAGCTGGGCACACAGATCCCGCCTAGCTCCTCAGGGAGGCTGAGCATTCCCAAGATGAAATGAAGCAACAAGAAGAAACACTCTAGAAGTAAAAAGAAACATACCCCGTTCTGTCTGCAAAGGAGAACAATAAAATTCCAAAGAAGACTTGCAGACTCTTTGTCAATTAAATTTTCGTTCTGCAAACATTTCATGGCTTTGTTCTGTGCAAAATTAATAACATCCACTTTATGGGTGTCGTCTCTGCAGAAAGAACAGACAGTGAGCAGCAATGTCTGCCAGGCCGGGCTTGGCAAAGAAACACCTCAACAAGGAACGTACTTGCCCAGGGGTCCCGGAAACGCCCGCATCTCCTCCTGCTCGGATGTGTGCTGCAGCAGGGCCTATGAGGAGAGGGCCACAGGTCAGGTGGCCCAGCCACCCTGCTGCACCTGCACGGCTGGCCAAGCCAAGCACAAATGCTGCCTATGAGAGGAGAGGACAGCCTGGCCCACCTGCCCCACTCCACCCCGCCCCACCCCATAGCAGGTGAAGGGTCTGTCAAGGCTGTTATGTGGAGCATGGTCTGTCTGGGCCACGACCATGATTTCAAACTTTATTTTAAGCAGTGAGATCCGTTTCTTCTCTCCAGAACCTCAGGCAGAATCCAAACACATGTGACAGAAGAGGCCTGCAGAAGCTGCAGCAGGAGGCACATGCCAGCACACCCTCACCTCAGCAGCACTGGGCTCATCCACCCTACCCACCACCCTCACCTGCCCCCTTACCAGCCCCCCCCGCCGGCAGCCCTGGGCCCATCCATCCCACCTGCCTCCCTCACCAGCCCCCGCCACCTCGGCAACACCCGGCCCATCCACTGCACCAGGCCCCCCCCGCCCCCCCTCACCATCGCCCCTCACCTCTGCAGCACCCGGCCCATCCATCCCACCCACCCTCCTCTCACCCGCCCCCCTCAATCCCGCAGCCTCAGGCCTACCCACCCCACCCGCCCCCCTCACCTCAGCAGCACCAGGCCCATCCATCCCACCTGCCTCTTTTACATGGGCAGTGCCAGGCCCACCCACTGCATCCATCACTGAAAAGCACCAATAAAGCAAACTTCCCCAAAACGAGGACAGAAAATGTGTAGTCTAACATTTAAGGCAGATGCTTACAATACTGCCTACTAGGAAGAAAAAGACATCACCAAACAGAACCAAAACCCTACAAACTGAATATTCACAGGAGTAAACATTTCCAAGAACACACATCCAGAGGCAAGAACTGGCAGCTGAAGATGACAAACTGCCAGAGCTCCCCAGAGCGGCAGTGCAGTGACGCCGCACTTCCGCGTGCGCCAATACCTCCATGCTGTGGACCTCAACCAGGGCCGGCTGTCCTTCTGAAGGCAGATTGGGAATCACTTTGATAAGCTGACCGCCAGGGCCAAACCTGGCACAGACATGAGGCACTGAAAATTTCTCAGGAGAAGTTGGTCTTGATGAAACTACATTTAAAATAAATGAAAAAGAAACAATCAGCTTGTCACTGATGCTAGACTTTCAATGTGCTCACACAACTGAAATCATGGGTTAGATTCACCATGATAAACTTCCAACTCAAAGTCAGCAATTGTTTAATATCATAGTTAAGGGTAGAACTTAAGCATATGTCAGGAAAAGAGAAACATCTGACTCATTAAACACGAGAGCTATTCCCTTGTACACCGAGACAGCTCCTGCGATACCCTCGTGACACCGTCCTGAGGCTTGGCAGCACCTGCTCCTCTCAGGCCTGGCCCACTCCCGAGCTCTTTCAGTTTCACAAAAGCAAATTCAGACTGCCATGACCATACAGCAGGCAGCAAAAAGGACAGCAAAACCCCTCAAGCAAGAAAGAAAATAAGGAGCCAGGCACAGTGGTGCATGCCTGCAATCCCAGCATCTGGGAGAATCCAAGGCAGGAGGATCACCTGAACCCAGGAGACCGAGGCCATGACCGCGCCACTGCACTCCAGCCTGGGTGACAGAGCGAGACTCTGTCTCTTAAAAAAATAAAAGAAAAAGAAATGAAAAAATGTTGTGAACTGAAACAATACTTTAAGAAAATAAGGCCGGGTACAGTGACTCACACCTGAAATCCAAGCATTTTGGGAGGCCGAGGCGGATAGATCACTTGAGGTCAGAAGTTCTAGACCAGCCTGGCCAACATGGCAAAACCCCATCTCTACTAAAAATACAAAAATTAGCCAGGCATGGTGGCACACACCTTTAATCCCAGATACTTGGGAGGCTGAGGTTGCAGTGAGCCGAGATTGTACCACTTCACTTCAGCCTGGGCGACAGAGCAAGACTCTGTCTCAAAAAAAAAAAAAAAAAAAATGGAATTCAATCCACTGTTAAATTCTGTAACTTTATATATATTTCTGCAGTTTTCCAAGAAAAGGCATGTGAGCATCCTAGAAGCGAAGTCTGCCTGCGACACACAGGACAGCTGCAGGAACGGAGTCTTCAAGGGGAATGAGGAGCTCCCTCCTACAAGACTGCTGAGCACAGGGGTCAGTGATAGGGACTGACCAGGGCGCCCAGAGCCTGAACGTGAGTGTCTGCAGAGTCACACTGTAAACACACTCTGGGGCAGCCAGGCCAGCTCTCAGGCCTGAGACCAAACTGCAATCGAAGAGGCAGTGTCAGCCTGTCCTGACATGCTCTGCGTCTGGGAAGGACGGATTGGGACAGAGCCATCTTTCTTCCGCAGGGAGGAGCCAGGCCAGGTCATCACAATTCCAATCCCAGCCCTGACTCCCGTGTTCTGATCCCGGGCTGGGTGGCACCCCAGCGGGGTGACCCAGCATCCCTCCGTCCTGCTGAGCACACACCTTGCTCCACAGCAGGCCAGGCAGTGTCTGCAGGATAGCCAAACTCTGGGAAGCCTGGGCCACTGCTGAAATTGCTGCGGTAGGGGCCGTAGGCGAAATCACCGTGAAAGGAGCCTGGAAGAAGTGGGGCCTCGTAGGAACTGGCAGTCATGTTGTGGCTTCTGTAAATCTGACTCTTAGAAAACAAAGCAAACGGGCAGAATCAGCTCCCCAAGCAGGCAGTAAAACTTTAGGTGTACTGCAAACAGGACGGTGGTTCTAAACACAGCTGTCTGCGTGTCTGTGGGTGCCGCCACGCACCTGGCGTGAGTGGGAGCTGAGGCTGCTGCGGTGGCTGGCCAGACTGTGTGTGCTGCGCAGGCTCCGCGCCGACTGCTCACTGTGGACGCTGTGCCGGTCCACCTCTTCTCCATAAGGGTCTCTGTGAGGATCAGGGTCATCGTCAAAACTCCCTGTGAAGCGAGGGTCGTATCTCCAGTTGCTATCACGTTTCTCAGGCCTAAAGGAAGCCGGGGACAGAGGCAGAGGGATGAAGTTTGGGAGGCCCCGTCCTCAGGTGCTGCACAGCTGCCCAGGACCTGAGAGGCAGACCCCTGGGGTTGAGCCACAGCACACCACACCCACCCTCAGACCCCTCTGATACACAACTTTAGAGAAGTACTATGCATGTGGCCCCAGTGTGGCCACTTATCTGGGCTGCAGGACACGATGGATAAGGGGTGATAAGAAGAGATAAGAAAGAGTGAGCCCGGACTCCCTAGTGCTCCCAAGGGGCTGGACTTTCCTCATGCTGAGGCTGGTCCTCCTCTACCAGCCCAACCTGGGAACCCTGGGAGGCTCTGGTTCCTCCTTCCTTTCAGACAGGGACCAAAACATCAGGCAGCTGCTCCCCCAAAATACCACAGCTCTCTGTTACAACCCAGACCTGAGGGCAGAGAGGCACCAGCACGTCCTCCTCCTGCTGGGGGCGCTCCACCAACCTGTCTCCGTAGGCAGAGTGCTCTCTCCGGTACGTGTCGTACTCCACGTCGCACCAGTACCTCCGGTCATAGGTGTGGGGGTCCCTGACTCCAGCACTGTAGTGGTAATGATCCCACTGACCTGGATCTGTGAGCCAGGAATTAACGATCAATACAGTGACACGCAAAAGCAGCAGCACCTCGGATTTCACTAAAGCAGCGACATCACCCCAGGACTTAAGGCTCAAGGATTCCTCGAGAAACCTAACTTCTCTCCTGGAAAGCAGCCTCATACCAGGAAGCCATGGGACCTGCAGGGCCCAGCGACCTTATGGCAACTGGCTGATTTTTCTCTCAATACAAGTGTTTTAGATTAAAAGGAAAACATATCTATAGAAAACATGCTAAATAACTTCTTTATTAAGTCCTTTTTCTTTTTTTTTTTTTTTAAACAGAAATGGGATCTTACTATGCTACCCAAGCTGGTCTTGAACTCCTGGGCTCAAGTACTTTTCCCACACCTCAGCCTCCCAAAGTGCTGGGATCACAGGCATGAGCCACTGTGCCCAGCCAGTTCTCTTTCGTGGTTACTGCTTTTTACCAGTTAATCCCCTGTCAATTTTACTACTATTTCTTCTCCTCAATGTGACTCATAAGGTTTTCAAAAATAATCTCAATATCATGAGGTTACTTTAAAAGGGCTATAAACAAACTGGATATATCATTTTCAGCAAGTATTTTTAATAAGTATTAAGAAAAAGTTCTTAAAAGGTCTTTTATCATCATTTCTAAAGACGTCTTTATTTTTGAAATCTGTATTTAAAACAGGTGCAAATATCAAAGAAGATATTTGATATCTGCCAAGGGGCTTCATGGGCCCAGAACACAAGAAGCCACAGCCAGGGCAAGAGTAACTGGGGGAGGCTCTTCCCATGGACATGGCCACTGTGCCACACATGCTGCATGGAGGGCAGCATGGCTACAGCTGGACACTGCCAGGGAGCACCCAGGACGCTGCCTACTGGGCCCAGCCCATGTCCACACCGTCCCAGGCAGCAGCCGCCAGCCTCCTGCGGTCCAGGAGCATGGGAAACATGGCCGGTAGGATGAAGCATATGGTTTTTCATTTCACTTCCTTTTCATCCATTTATGTTGACAGAGGCACGTGTGGACACAGCAGCTCTCGAACTGCTCATGGTTATGCTTTGCTAGAAAATCAGAGAAATCTGCCAATATGACAAAAATGCATTCAAGCTATAATTAAGATATAATTCCATAATGAAGAATATCAACATAATTATTTTCAAATACAAAGTATTTTCAGTATTTCGGCTCATAAAGAAGAGACTAATAAAAGGGGACATTTCCTGGAAGTCACCAGCAGGTACTGCCTGGCCAGGGCTGCATGTCGTTGGTGTCCTTCACACAAGGCACCTGCTGGGGCCAGCTGCCTGGGGTTCCTCAGCGTACCTCCGTAACTGCACTGGCTGGAATAGTAACCTGCGTAGTAATCGCTCTGACTGCTCCATCCGCTTTTGGAACCATAGTACCCTTCAGGATACCCCTGCCTGAAAAACACACAGTCCTGTTAAAAAACAAATTTCCTATTTCTTAAAGTGACATCAGCTAATACAAATAATTCCCAAAGCAACAGACATTCATCAAAGCACTTCAGTTGTATAAAAATTCCAATTAGAAAATACAAAACGGTAGCAAGGATGAGACTGTGGCATTTCCCACCATACAGCTAGTTAACATTTATCCTGGTAAAATAACTAAGAGCCATTCAGCTAAAAAGAACTGACCCTTTTTGTGTTCTCATTGCTGTTGCCTACGTAAGTCAATGCTAAAACAGGTCCCAGAATTTTTGATAGTATGCTCAGCAGAACACAAAACAGACTGAGATTTTTTTTTCTTGAGACAGGTCTCACTCTGTTGCACAGGCTGGAGTACAGTGACATGATCTCAGCTCAACACAACCTCCACCTCCTGGGCTCAAGTGATCCTCCCACCTCAGCTTCCAAGGGACTACAGGCACATGCTATCACACCCAGCTAATTTTTAAATATTTTTCACAGAGATGGCGTTTCACCATGTTGCCAGGCTGGTCTCGAATTCCTGGGCTCAAGTGATCCACCCATCACAGCCTCCTAAAGTGCTGGGATTGCAGGCATGATGCACTGTGCCCAGCCTCACTGAGCCATTCAAACAAAAATGCCAGCTTCACAGCCTCCACCACAGACCACTGGCTGCTGGTGCTTCCTGCACGTGGGCTGGGTACCACTGTCGGAGCCTGTGTGTGCTCCTGGAGCAGGACTCTGATGGCTCAACCTCCCCTCAGGTCTCCTGGAGCTGACGTGTCAGAAAGGCTGGTTTTGTAGACCAAGCCATGATCCTGACTCTGGCTACAGGGAAAGAACAATCTAGTACAATGATCAAGTATCAGACCTTCCGGTGCTTTCAAGATTGCTGAAAGGCCAACCTGGTAAACACAGTGAGACCCATCTCCATAACACAATAAAACATTAGCCAGGCATGGTGGCACACACCTGTGGTCCCAGCTACTCGGAGGCTGAGGCAGGAGGATGGCTTGAGCCAGCAGGTTTTGAGGCTGCAGTGAGCTACAAGGGCATCACTGCGCTCCAGCCTGGCTAACAGAGTGAGACCTAAAAAAGACCCTTGAAAAGACTTAAGAGCATTTTATAACTTTCATACAATATTTAGTTTTTAAAGAGTGACTCTTCCCATGCCCCTTCAGGAGGCATCATGGGAGCTGCACACACCCCACCGAACTTGGCTGCTTGGCCGGCATAGCAGCTGTGCATAGACGGGGCTGTCACTGGGCGGCATGGGGCCCAGCCTGATTGCCTCCCACATCCAACTGCTCAGCTGTAGTAATGAGCCCTGCCACCCGACAGCCTGAGTGGCCCGCTAGGGTCAACAACATTCACATGCGCCACAGCAGCTTCTGGAGAAATTATCTGACATGGGGCGAAACCAAGGAGCCACCGCCTCCTCAGCTGACCTTTCCAATCCGCCCTTCACCTGGAGCAACACAGTCTCAAAAGCAAACAAGGCTGAGACAGGCAGTGCCTGCAGGGATCTGAGCACACTAGGCCCAGAGAGGTGAGTCCATGCCACACACAAGCGCCGAGACGGAACACACACGCGTCAGAGGCGCGCTCCCCAACCACGGCCAGGAAGGAGCAGAGAGGATTCTCAAGCCTGCGCAAACCGGGGCTGAAGGCAGCCAGGGGATCCAAACCCGAGGAAGAGGAAGCCCTCAGCTCGTGACAAAGCCACGCCTGTGGTGACCTGACCCCGCCTCTGGTGACAGGCCTCTCTGTATCATGAGCCACCACTGGTCTCTCAGAATCGGTTTCTATGGGAGCTGGGCAGGGCAGCCAGCAGGGGGAGAACAGAAGGGTGAGAGGCCTCCCTGCCGTCTCTCCTCTGTGCTCTCACCACTCAGGGCCCTAGTAAACACCTGCCTGCTCACCCTCCCCTGGACTTGGCAGGCTTTGAATCAGAATATGATCTTAACTTCAAGCCTGCTTTCCAGGTGACAGGGTGACACACAGTAGCTCACAACTGGGAATTCTCTCACAACTACAGCCTCCCGAAAGGCAAAGGCTCACAGTGTCACCAGCTTCACATGGTAGCTAGAACATCCAGCTGTACCCGACCCAGTGCGCACCCTCAGAGGTGAGCACACCAGGGCCGGTGGCGTGGGGATAGGGTCACAGACAGAGCCTTAGTCTTCAGATCAGCTCCTAAAAGCCTCTCAGAATAAGCATGAGGAACCTTTAAAAAAAAAGTGCAGGTACAAAGTCTTCATTAGCGACGGTCACCAAGCTGAAGAAGTATCCCCCTGCAGGGAACCTCCATGTGTGAGCCAGTCACTCTCAGATCTGGCAAGGAGCAAGTGCAGCTCAGGCCCTGGGGGGGCACAGCCAAGTACAGCAGCCGGGACCCCACCCCACCCTGCTCAGGGCTCTGCACACCTCCCTTGCGGAAATGAAAATCCCACAACAGCCTCCTCTGCTCTAGGGCCCGGAGGACTCTGACCTGGCATGAAGGCTTGCTCATGGCTGAAGGCACAGTGCCACAGGTCTCTTCAAACCTTTTTTCTGTAATGGCAAACAGAGGCCAGTACAGGGGACAAGCAGGCCAGGGACACTTGCCAGCCTTCAAGCAGAGGAGGCAACGTCAAGGAGAAACACAGGCTCGCTGGGTGTGGGGGCTCATGCCTGTAATCCCAGCACTTTGGGAGGGCAGGGCAGGAGGGTCCCTTGAGGCCAGGAGTTCTAGGCCAGCCTGGGCAACACAGTGAGACCCTCATCTCTACAAAAAAAAAAACGAAGAAAATTAGCTGGGTTTGACTGGGCATGTCTGTAGTCCCAGCTCCTCAGGAGGCTGAAGTGGGAAGATCACTTGAGCTCAGGTGGTCAAGGCTGCAGTGAGCCAAGATGGCACCACTGCACTCCAGCCTGGACAACACAGAGAGACCTATCTCAAAAGAAAAAAAAAGGAAACACGAGTTTTCAGGCCGTTTTCTGAAGCCAGCCTGACAGGTCTAAGGATTAGACCTGTGTGACCTCTGTGGCCAGTCCTCCTACGCCTCCGGAGCCGGGTGTAAAGCTGCCGTGTCTCTAGGGAGGCTGAATACCTCATTAGCAAATGGCTGGAGCAACAGACATCCTCAGCCAGAGGGGCTCACAGACAAGTCAGAGGTAGCTTCTTTGTGGCCCTGTGCAGGGTCTGGCCCTGTCGAAGAGGGTCCAAATGCTAACTAACCAGCACAGCTAATGACCGCCCAGGCAGTGTTTATTTCTACTTAAAAACACATCCTACAATTTGTCCATACTGAGAAAATGTATACATATGTTAGGTAAGTTTGTACGATTCTTCACAAACACAGAATTTTTCAAGTCGCTAAGTTATCCCCATAGCCAGCAACACAGACACAGGTCTGAGTATGACAGGGAGGCAGCCGGGACGGGCACGGCCGAACCTGGGAGGTGGCCGCTCTGAGGAGTGGCTGGCTCGGGAGCTGGGCCGCTCAGGCTCAGGGTAGCGGTAGTTCTCGGTGTAGGTGGACGCTGCGCTGTCATAGGGCCTGTATCGAGGCTCGTAGAGGCTGTAGATATCCTGCAGGAGGAAGCATTTGGGCCACATTAGATACCAATCAAGAGCGAACTCCAACCACCAGCCTGAGCTGGAGACATCAAGATGGCTGTCCTCCAGTGGTCGGACTGAGTGTGGTCCTTCCCTCACCCACAAGCGCACAGACCTCCAAGGGCAGCCACCCCACAAGCAGTGGGGCCAGCCTCACACCCACAGCCCTGGCCCTGTTCAGGAGACCCCTCCCTGGATAGGCCCAGGGCACCAGCGTGTCAGCAGGCAACTGCAGTGGGCTGCAACAACTTCCGGAAGGGGCTATTAGGTTTCTGCTTCCTGACAGCTCCAGTGAGGAGATGCCATGATTTGAACAATCCCTGCGTCCTGCTTCAGACGCTACCTCAGTTAAGTCAGAGAACCAGGGTCCCAGTGAACGGGGCAACAGCCAGGAGCAGCCTCCAAAAGTGGACCATGCTTCATTCTCAGGAGGCTTCTGCCCCATCATCAACCAATTCATGGCCACAGATCTGTCCCCAAGGGGGCCCATGTGGACACATGAAGATATGAAGGTCCCCCCCAGGTACATGCTGGAATTCATTATTCTGGGTCTGAGAGCTTGGACGCTGCTGCTGTCTGGCAGGTGAAGTGAAATCACAGCAAAGCGGACTTGTCCTTGGCCACCACTGGACACTACAGCAAGAAGCACGGCAGGAGAGCACTCAGGGGAAGGGAGGTCAGCCTGCGGTGGGAGCTCCATACAAAGGACGTGAAGCCAGGCCACAGCTTCCCTCATTCTGCACCTGTACCACCCAGAGCCCCCAGCAGAGCTGAACATCCTTATATGGAAATAAAATGTGCCTGGGCTTCTCCCAGAACCTACACAGGTCTGAGGATCAGGTGTGCACCTGGTCACATGCACAGGAACCACGATGCTCAAGGCCATGAGAAGGCCCAGCCCTGTTCCTTGGGGGTGGTACCTAGCCAGCCACGGCCACCTTCTGACTGCAAGACCATGGTTCTCCAACCACGCAACCCTTCTACCTGGTGACAATTGGTGAACCCAACTGCTGCGTATTGAACCGGGTTAGAGGATAGAAAAGCGACAGCAATCAAAGGTGTGCACACAGACACTTTCCAAACGACTGCAGGACTACACTGAACCTGACTTAAATGCCAGTCATGAGCTTGTGTCCCTATGAAAAGACGCACAGAAGAATCTTCTGCAGGATCACGGCAGGTCCCCCAGCCGATGCCCACGTCACCACGTGCTGAGAGCAGCCTTGCTCCTCTGGCATGTGTGGATCATACTCCAAAACTAACTGTTTTCCCTCAATGTTTTTACTTTGGGAGGCATTTAAAGGACTCTGGCTATGCCCAATGCTTCTGCGTTGGTTTTTTTATGTCAAAACCACACAAAAGCTTCCAGAGGCTATCCCAGCTTCCCGGGGTGTGCAACAGAGAGCCTCTGCAGACAGCCAGCAGGGGTGACAGGAAATGGAGGGCTCTTTTCGTCACATAAGCTTTGAAACCCAGCAGGTATTATAAGCAATTCAATATGCTAATGAGTGGTGTGAATTGCTAAGGGTGGCCTGCACTAAGAGAGCAAGCTCTGGGGCCCAGGAGCCCTGTCCCCAGGAAGCGTTGCTGGGATGCTGCTCTCATGCCTGCGGGACTGTGGGTGACCTTGGAACCAAGCGAAGAAACACTTGGTTTCTTGCTAAGGACCAGGCTATGAGAGAAAGAAACCCAATTCGTCAAAGCAAGGAGAGAAATGGGTTCCACATGAGACTCAACTCTACCTGGTAATAGAGGGAGGCCGCACCAGGCTCCGGCGGGTACGGCGAGGGGTACTGAGACTGGTAGGCATCGTACAGAGGCCGGTAGTAGTAGTAGGCGGCCAGGTCCGGAGGCGGCAGGCCGGGAGCAAGCACAGGGACCGGCTGTGGCCACGGCTGCTCTGATGGCATGGCTGCCTGGCTGGAGCTGGCGGACACCAGCGACGCACTGGAAGGCTGAAGCAGCCGAGGTGGCAGCTGCTGACCCGTGTTGGCCGGAGCCAGAGTTGCTGGTGGCTGGACTGAGTTCTGGGACTGTCCCTGTGCTGGCAGACTTTCTGAATTTGACAGCTCTGAAAACATGGCTTTGGGCACTTGTGGGGAAGAAGCCCGTTGCTGGGGCAGCAACAGCTCCTGCTGGGCTTTTTCCAGGCCATGCTGGCCCTGGGCGTCTTTCATGACCTGCTGATAAAAACAGTCCGGGTTAGGCGCCCCGGGCCCAGATTGTCTGGGATGACCGGCAGCAGCTTGCTGAGAAGCGAGGCCTTCAGGAAGGGACGGGCTGTACATGCTCAAGGGGTTTTCCGAAGCCCTGCCTAAGGTAAAGTCTAGGGCTCCGCCGGTGTCTTCCTGATGACTGGAATGGTTTGCCTTATCACCATCAGGCACCAGGGTGCCATTTGCAGGTGGAACTAACACCACACTTGTGCTTCCTGCAGGGCTATTAGCAAACCCGGGAAGAGCACTTCCTGCCTTAGCATCCTTCTGACTTTCTGGAACCAAGTTCTCTGGAATTGGCTGGGACGGTGGTTGAACCAGCAAATTGGCAGGCTGATTAGAAACCATTTCAGAAGCACCAGAACCTTGTAGAAAATTACTCTGGGAAACACTGCTAGGCAGAGACAAGCTAAGCACAGAGCTGGTTGGAATCCCAGACAGAGAAGCGTTCTCCCCAGAATCACCGCTGAGAGCCCAGCTGCTGACTGCAGGTCTATCCCCCACCAAAGTCTCTCTCCAGGACTGATTCTTCTCATTAGGGTTCGGTAAGGACACAGAAAAGTGAATGGGCTGAGCCAGATGGTAGCTGTGATCAGGCTGGGCAATCAAGACGGGCGGATTCTGCACAGACTCAGTGGGCGGTGAGGATAACAAACTGGCATAACCAGAACTCGCCTGGGACTGAAGGGCCTCCTCTTCTCCCATTTTGGGAGGGTTCTCAAGGTTCTCGGAAGCACCAATGCCACCTCGGCTCTGCAAAGGGGCCGCCAAGCTTGGCTTCTGTGACTGCTGCCCGGACGCCGCCTCTTCTGGAGGCTGAACAACTTCAGGTGGCTGAGGTTTTGCAGGCACATAAAGCACTGGGGCTGCAGGGGCCAGGAGGACATTGCCTCCGAAGTCTGGCAGCTCACTCTGCGCCCACAGAGTCGTTGCTGGGCTCTCGCACTTCCCAGGCCCCTGGGCCCTGGCCGAAGGCCTCTTCTCAGGGGCTGGATACACAGTATCCAATGGCGGCACCCCTGCATGTGGAGCCATGTGCCCGGGTTCCGTGGTAGAGCTGAGAGGCAAAGGGCAGACCTGGGGTGCACAGAGGGTCTCCATGTTGTCTGGTGGCTGCTCCAGGTTGCCAGGGGAAGCATTAGGCAGGGCGGCAGCTGGTCTGCGCTGCTTCTGCTGGGCACAGGTCTCCCTAACTTCACCCACCACATTGGCACGATCCGCCTCAAATGGTTTTACCCCAACTAAGTGGGATTTTACTGGTTCAAAAGAGCTATTTGCACTTGTCTGAAATATTCCTGTAGGTTTTGGGGGGCTTGGGGTTGAAGGCTGGGACACACTGCCACGGTAATTCTGGCTTACAGTGGTCTCATCTGTCTCACCTCCTATGGGAGAGGAATCAATTTGCTTAAAAAAACTACCTGAAGCTTCATCCTCGGGTTTTCCAACTTCTTGCTGAATGAACGTGCCAACCAGTTCCTGGGGCCTGGCTGAGCCCGAAAGCCTCCTGTGGCTTCTGCTGCTATAGCCAGATGCCAGGCCGTCAGGGTTCACTACATGCAGTGTGGCATCGGGGGTTCCAGCATGGCACACAGCACCATGCCTGGGTACCGCTGGCCCAGGAAGGGGCCCACATCTGAACTGGACACTTGAGGAGGAAGAGTCCAAACTGAGGGGCTCACTTGGCAGAACTTCCTGATTCTGAATGAATTCTAAGTTCTCAACATTCTCATACTGCGAGCCACTGGTGTCCGGCACCCCTGTGCCTGCTGCATCACCCCACCCATCACCAGTGGCCTCACTGCTGGGGCCTGGGAGAAGGGCCTGACAGAGGCCACCTGCCTCCATGTGTGCAGGTGGGAGTGGACGGCCCAGTCCAGCGCTGGAGCAGAAATCGTCAAAGTCTGCTTGACCAGATGAGCCTGCCTTTTCAGATGAGAGATTCTCCTCATTTTCTGTCTCTCCCCCTTGGAAAAACATCGCCAGAGCTCCCGAGTCTGCTTCCAGCGGGACGCGGCTGGCCCCAGCCCCCAGTGGATGGTGCGATTGGTTTTCTGGGCTATCTCCCTGGGCAAGGGGGTTCACAAGAGCACCGGTGGGCCGGTGCTCCTTCTTCACTCCTGGATTCTGCCTGAGCTCCGGGCTTGCCCAATTATTCACAATTCTAGGATTTTGCCTGAATGTATTTTCAGGGTCAAAGTTACTGGCCAGGTGGCTTCCACTTTGCAAATGGCCCACCTCGTCTCTTCCGTCAATGGCCAAAGCTGCCGGGGGAGCCACTAGAGGGCTGTGTTGCTCGTGACCAGGGCCCTGATGCAGGATGGACGGAGTAGGGAAATGAGGAATGCTGGCAGCACCAGGCAGCCCGCTCTGAGTGGGTCCTTCAGGGCAGGGTGAACGATGTTGCCCTGAGGGCTGCAGTGGCCCCCACTGTCCCGGCGTCTGCAGATGAGGCTGGAGCAGGGAAGGCGATGCCGCTGGGGTAACCACACCATCATGTGGGTTTTGCCTGCTTAGGGGTCGGTCAAGCCCAGATGTGTTCCCCTGAGGATGGCCCCCATGAGACGTTTCAGGATCCACTCCTGGAATGCAGTGAGGTGGATGTGGCAGGGTCTGAACTTCAGGCTCTGACCTGGGACCGCCCTCTGCACTCCTGTTCAGCTCAGGCCCATGAGGTGCTGAAGATGCTGATGCACCAGAAAGCAGAGTGGCATCTGCTCTGGGCTGTGACAGAGGTCCCGGCAGGGGCTCGCAGGGCCCCTGAGAGCCGTCCCTGGCTTGCGTGTGAGGCATAAGCAAACCGGGCTGCTGAGAAAACCCAGGGGCTGCTGGGCCCTGCAGGACAGGTGGGCTGCTTTTGAATGGCGGTGTGCTTTGGAGCGCCTGTCTACTAAAAGCAAACGGATCCGTCACCGGCTGCAACGGGCAAGTGAGCGGAGCCACTGGTGCATTATTATTCGCTCGCCTCCTGTAAGGGCTGCCAGCCCAGAACATGCTCCGAGGGTTCCCAGCTGGAGGTGGCCCAGCAGCGCCAGACGGGACTGCCTGGGGTGGCGGCTGCATGGCTACTCTCTTGCACAAGTAGATGCTACTTCCAGAAGGAAGCAGGGTACAGCTTTTCCTTAATTGGAGCTGAAAAAGAAAAAGAGAAAGTCAGCATAAAAATCCATATATTCAAAGTCCTAGCTGCAATTAGGAAAACTAAGGAAAAAGAGAAAAACTGAACATGATTTCACATCATTTAAATCCCAAGGACTGTCTCTCCCTGACATCCCCACCCCAGCAGAGAACACCTGTCCTTGAGGAGCCACTCTGAGAGCTCTGGGGGGGCAGTGGACAGAGCAAGAGCCCGGCTGAGCCGTGAGCTGCAGAATATGCCTAGACGGCCACTCCCTCCTCTGGGACCCTTTACTCAGAAGGCCCATCACTGCCGTAGACCCACGCCACACTGGCAGGGACAGTGTAGAACCTGACCACTGGTGTCACACGCTACCAGACCCACAGATTTTCAACATTTCCTAGATCCAGGAAGAGCCAACTCTTCAATTAAGAAAGAAAAACTGGCCAGACGTGGTGGCTCATGCTTGTACTCCCAAGACTTTAAGAGGCCAGGGTGGGAGGACCACTTGAGCCCAGGAATTTGAGACCAGCCTGAGCAACAGTGAGATCTTGTTTCTACAAAAAATACAAAAATCAGCCAGGTGTGGTGGTGCACACCGGCATTCCCAGCCACTCAGGAGGCTGAGGCAGGAGGATGGCTTGATCCTGGGAGGTCAAGGCTGTAGTGAGCTATGACAGCACCATGCACTTCAGCCTGGGCAACACAATAAGACCCTATCTCAAAAAAAAAAAAAAAAGAAAGCTAAACTACATGTCATACATCCCGTACATGCTCATTTTAAATTTCAAAAGGAATACAAAAGTTTAAAATACATTCTTCCATTTTCTCTGATGAAAGAGTGTTAAGAATAGTTATAAAAGCTGCAAGATAGGCTGGGTGCAGTGGCTCATGCCTGTAATCCTAGCACTTTGGAAGGCCGAGGTGGAAGGGCTGCTTGAGGTCAAGACCCGCCTGGGCAACATAGCAAGACCCTGTCTCTACAAAATAAGAAAAGTAGGCAGACATGGTAGCACACACCCGTAGTCCCAGGAACTCAGGGGGTTAAGGTGGGAATATCGCTTGTGTCCATGAGTTCGAGGCTGCAGTGAGCTATGATTGTACTACTGTAGTCTAGTCTGGGCAACAGAGTAAGACTGTCTCTATTTAAAAAATAAAAACAAATAAATAAAAAGTGACACAATACTCTTCTGAAAAGCACTGGAAAATAAATATGTTTATCTAAATGCCTTTCTCTCACCACTTCATAGGTCTCATGTTTTGTGACTGGCTTAAGGTCTGAAAGTGCCACCAGCAAGACAGCGCCTCCTTTGAACTGGAGCTGTAACTACACCTGGAATGAAAGCTCCAAGGAACCTGATCGCAGCTTTACAAGTGACAAGACTGGATTCAAAATTTTCAGCAACAGACAGAATTGCCAACAAACCTCTCGCAGAAAACAAAGGGGCAAAAACCTTCATCAGTGTTTTTTTGGTTGCTGTTTTAAAAAAATATATAGTAAATACAAACTTGAATAGTTAACATGGACTCTTAAGGCAAAAATTCAAGTGCTGTTATCTTTAGGAAAGTTCTTTTCTTTCTATCAGTCTTTCTTCTTCTCAGTACCACCCTCATGAACAAACAGGTAAGTTTAGCCAATCAAAGGAAAGATTAAACCCGAGGAGAGAACTCTTGGGAGGACTCTGGGGTTTCATCCACACATTTTTGCAGACGTATATTTTTTTTGTCCTTGGAAATCTTTCTGATATTCAGATAAAAGAAGAAAACATTGGCCAGGTGCAGTGGCTCACACCCATAATCCCAGCACTTCGGGATCCAGAAGGCTCACTTGAGTTCAGGAGTTTGAGCTCAGCCTGGGCAACACGGTGATACCCCATCACCGCAAAAAAAAAAAAAAAAAAAAAGGCCAAGCATGGTGATGCATGCCTGTAGTTCCAACTACTTGGGAGGCTGAGGTGGGAGGATTGCTTGAGCCAGGGAGGTTGAGGCTGCAGCAGTGAGCCTTGTTCAAGCCACGACACTCTAGCCTGGGCAACAATGCGAGATAGTCTCAAAAAAGAAAAAAAAAAAAAGAAAGAAGATGAAAACATTGGTCAATGTATTTTAAGTAAAATATTTACAAATTAAAATTCCTGTGCTGACTGACCTATGAACTAGTCCTGTCAACCTACTGCACCAACACTGTTAATGCTCGCATATGCTCTCTCTGATGCCAACAGGGGACCGTTTCCAACTTACAGGCACCTGGAAACCCACTTGACGCTAACAGAAGTCTACTATCAGGAGCAGCGGCAAAGGCTTCACTGAGTTCTAGGCTCTTATTTGAAACAAAGAATGTTCACAGCTCTATTTTAGACGGACTGAAAAGAGAACAGGGAGAACATCTCCCTCCTATCTGTGGACTGGCATTCTCTTCCACTTGGTCCAACCAGCTGCAGAGCCACAGCAGACAGAGCAACCTGCAACCACAGCCAGAATCCGAACTTCCAAGCCCTCTCGAAGCTCCGCCGCCAGAACAGGGGTCCTACGTCATCTCTCCAGACATGGCCCTACCCCAGGAAGATCAGCTCCGTCCTCAACAGCTTTCGTTTGTTTGCTCTAAACACAGAGCACGGACCTCAAGCTTTATTCCTCGGCTGCTGCTATGACAGCAGAACTGGGCATTCGAGTGAGTGGCTCGAAGCAGCCATGACTCTTTCGGCAATGTGTTTTTATTACCAAATGAGAGAATCAATGTGATTATTTTTTTCCTAAAACCATGGGTTTAACCTTATGAGATTCTACTCATGGTAGATTCGGGATGTCCTAATCCCACCTGCTGTTTAACAGGGGAATCTTATCAGAATCTAAATTTCACTGGTTTATACTTAAATGTTTTCCTTGTAGACATTTTCTTAAAATTATTCTGCAGCTCTCCTCCTAGACTAAGAACTTTCTTTTTTTCTGAGATGGAGTCTTGCTCTGTTGCCAGGCTGGAGTGCAGTGGCATGATCTCGGCTCACTGCAACCTCTGCCTCCTGGGTTCAAGCGATTCTCCTGCCTCAGCCTCCTGGGTAGCTGGGGCTACAGGCGTGTGCCACCATGCTCGGCTAGTTTTTTGAATAGTAGTAGAGACAGGGTTTCACCCAGAATGGTCTCCATCTCCTGACCTTGTGATCCACTTGCCTCACCCTCCCGACATGCTGGGATTACAGGTGTGAGACAGTGCGCCCAGCCCAACTAAGAACCTTTTAAATAGCAAACACTATCACTTACCTACAAAGGAGCATTCTAACCCTCATGCTCCCTAAATGAGAGCTTTTTAGCAACTCGCCAATTTCATTTGGAACAGTCTTGTGACCTGAACTGATTTTTATCTTTTTCTCTACTCACCAGGAGAAAGCAATGCCACTGCCTATCACCTATGTCACCACTACAAGGGAGCTAGCTTATTTAAGTCATCTAAGTCTTTCACTGTTTCAAAGAGGCCACCTGACCTTGAAGATGCAGTATTCATAAACCTAGCTAGTCAGTTAAATTGCCTTGTAACCATATGCACACCTAAGCAAAACTCTTTTCAGTAGAGTTCTGGCTACAGAACTGAGGTAAACACGCGCACACCCTTCTTCACTGTCACTGGCCTCACATTTTAGGTAAAGAAAACAAAGGTGTTCCAGGAAGCCTCTGAGCTTACATGCTGCCCAGTCTCCCTCACGGTGGCAGCTAGTGACTCCCTGTCAGACAATGGGATGCTTAACACAAAGACATGATAAACTCCAACTCTTCTAAGTTAGAATCGCAACCACATAAAGTTGGGTGTTGAAGACGAAGCCAGCGGCAGAGGCAGCCAGCAGCCTAGTACTGCTGAAAATGACCAAGACCCAAAAGGACACCCCGGTATTCATCAAGGATATTTACAGAAGAGGAAATCATATTGACATTTACCCACTACCATGGCCTCTCAGGTTTGGCAGAAAAAAGAAAGAAAGAAAGAAAATGTACCCACTGCCTCAAAGAAAACTTTCAGTACAATTCTGAGACTCACTGTAGTAACCACTATTAACAGTAAACGAGGAACAGGGAACAAGAAAGAAACGTTACTTTGCCTCTTTTCTGCCAGATACCAGCACCGGAACCCTAAGAAAGGAGACGGGGAAAAATGCAGGGAGGCTGCCTTGTGCTGAAACTTGCAAAAGTATCACTCGGGAAGAACTGTCTGCGGTTCTGTTTGCTTCGTACTGCCACATGGGGGATGGGAAATACCTCTTTGGTTAACATCGGCATCATACACGTAAAACGCAATCTTAATATACAATCCACACCCAACCTACAAGCCACTTAAAAGTGTTCTTAAGTGAAGCAGCAAAAACTGACTTTAAATCGCTCCGATGTTTCTGAAGCCTCTACTGTAACACTTCCATGACAAAGGGGCGAGACGGATCACACACACTCCTCTAACCCTCGGCCTCTGTTGCAACACCCGGATCGCCCTATCAAGAAATTACAAATAAACAACTCTGCTCCTTGGTTCAAATGTAAATCTCTCTTCACCAGCACCGCTAAGGAAACCTTCCAGCCGGTGAGGACAAGACACGTTCATTTGAAAAGCTGGGGTTTTACGAGGGGTGCCTGGGGTAAGCCTCCCGCCGGGGGTACAGGCGTCACCGCGGCCCAGCCGGGTCCACGTGAGTCCCTTCAGTCCCACGGCGCGCCTTGCCGCGCCCGGCCTCCCGCTCCAGCCTGCGGACCCCGGCGTCAGTCTCCTCGCCCGGCTCCGACGGGACCCGAGCTGCGCCGCCCGCTAGGGGCTGGGCCTCGCCGCCTCCCCTCCGCCGCGCCCCGGCCTCCACTGCCTGGCTCCTCTGGCCGGCCTCCGCCTTCCTCGTCCCGCGCTCGCCCCCTCACCCGCGCGGCAGAGATCGGCTGCTCAGGAGCCGCGCGTGAAAGCCCACCCGGCGCTGATGACGAGCGCAGACACGGAAACTGCCGCAGCCATCTTGGCACATCCGGCTCCGGTCTCCGCGGCCGCCGCGCCGCCGACGTGTCCGTCTTGCGACATCAGCGCGCGCCCCGCCCCTGTCCCCGCCCCTCGGCTCGGCGGCCCAGTTGCATTCTCATTCATCCCTTTACGGCCCAGGCCTCGTCCCCGGCCCTCGCCGGCGTCCGTCCCCTTCAGCCTCATCTCTGTCCCGCCCCCCTTATCCCCGCCCTCGCCGGCGTCCCTTCTTCCCCGCCTCATTCTTTCGTCCCGTCCCCCGCCCGTCTTTCCGCGCCGTCTCCTGTAGTTCCCTCCCCTTTGTCCCCGCCCCTCGGCCGTCCCTCCCGGCCCGTGGCCCCGCCCCCCGCCGGCGTCCATCCACCGCCTCACCGCTTGGCCCCGCCCCTCGCCACCTGCCCAGCCGGACGCGCCGGGGCCGCCCCGGGACGTCGCCTTGGTTACGCTGGCTCTTTCTCCCAGTCTTTTTTCGTTTTAAGATGTGAGAAGTGATGGGATTCTTCACTCAAGGCCACAAGGGGGAAATCAGTCTGCAGGACCGATGCTAGCAGGCTCACGCAGCGAGAACGGCTACTCTGCCTCACTGAGAAGCGCAGGGCCCTCACGCGGGCGCGCTCCTCTCATTCTTCCGTTGGGCCGGGAGGCTGGAGGGCAGGAGGCGGCGGCGGCGCCGGCGCATGCGCCGAGGGCGGTAGGAGCTGCGGGCCGCCGAGGGCCTACTGCGCCTGCGCGCTGGTTGCCTGGCTACGGCGCGATCGCGGGCCCTGAGCGGCGCCGGAAGTTGGTCGACGGCGACCGGCAGTGCCAGTCCAGGGTCCTGGGGTTTCCCCGACGCATCCTCTGCAGGCCGTTCGCTCCGCAGAGGCCCCAGCAGGGGAGGGCGGCCCGGCCACCGCGCGGAGCCGGGTCTTCGCCGACCCCCCAGAAGGACGCGCGGGCTCCACGTCCCCGAGCTCGGCCACGAGCCTGTGCCGCGCCGGGTCCTCCCACGCCCACCCCGGCCCCGGCCCCGGCCCCGGCCCCGCAGTCCTGCCGGGGAGGCGCGGTTTTCTGGCTTCGTCTCCTCGGCCGCCAGCCCCACGGGGCCCTAGGGTCCCAGCCCTGGCCTAGTGCACGTTGGTGGTGAGTGGGCGCTCGGGCGCCCACAGCGACCCAGCGGCGGGCGAGGCGTATGGGTGCTCCTGCCCCTGCGACGGCCAGGCCAGGCAGCATCCGTGCCCCCGCCCCCCGCGGAAGATCGCAGGGAACTGGTGGGCGCTGTCATCTGTGCCCTCATTTTCCGGAGGAACCCAGGGAGGCCGGGCGGGTGAGGAAGCGGCCATCCGTGTACCGCCCACTCACCTGCACCCGTACCTTGCAAGGACAGGGAAGAGCCGTGGCATTCCTCTGCAGCTCCTTCCAGAGGGCAGGTGTCGGTGGTGGGAGTGCCCGCCCGAGTGCATCGCCGAAGCTGAGCTCCCAGCAGCGGCTGAGGTCCTCCCTTTGGGAGCCACCCTGGTCCCCAGCGGGGCGGGAGGCTGGTACCTGTGCCACGCTAGCAGAGCCCCAGGCGGTGCCGGGAGAGGATCGCCCCAGCTGACGTGGCACCAGGGCCACTCTGCTCAGCTAACATTTGCCTTTCAGGAGTCAGATTCCTGACCTGTTTGAACACAGAGTTAGGGAACACGTGGTAGGGCGCAGCCCCAGCCCTGCTGGGAGAGGTGACAGTGACACCAGCCTCACTGCCCCCATCTTTCCGGTGGTCCAGGCGCTCTGCAGCCTCCCCTTAGGGAGGTGTCATTATTAGCCCTTCCCAAAGAGGGGAACGCAGAGGTGGGTGCAAGTTGAGTTCAAAGAACCCAAGAGCCAGGAGCCCAGGACTCTACCCTCTAGGTTCCTCCAGAACCCTGTGGTCCCACCCAGGTGGGCTCTAACCTGCAGAAGCCATAGCTGCAGAAGCCAACGCTGCCCTAAGCATAAAATGGGAGGTCTCTGGACCCCAGGGCAGGAGCCCCAGGGCAGGGATGTTAGAAAGCAGCTTATGGTGGCTCCTAGGGGTGTGGAGCACCATATCGCCTGCAAGGGGTTGGCCGTCTTTCTTCCCCTCCTCTCCCTAATACTAGGAGTGCATGGACACAGCTCTCAGCAGTCTGTGGCCTGGTGTTGGAATAGGCTCCTGCACCCTACACCTGAGCCCATCCAACCTCTGGGCTATAGACTGTTCCGCTGAAGGCCCGGCCTGCCCCTGAGACACTGTGTGCCTAGTCTCTGAGCATCATGTCCTGGCCGCTTAAAGAGAGCAACATAAGCACCTAAACACTTCAGGGCTGAGATGGGTCCTGCTGATGGGTGTGCCAGGACATCAGGCCTGGTGGGGGTGGATGTCGACATCAGGTGAATGGCTGCGGGCTGCAGGGGCCTCCTGCCAGTGCTGGGAGGTGTCCTGTCCGCGGTGGCCATCGCCATTCCTGGCGGAGCTTTATTGCCTTTGGCTGCAGCATCCACTGGTTTCTCCATTCTCCCAGTCTCTGCCCCTGCTCACACTTGGAGGCTGGACACAAAAGTCACCACCTCCCTGAAGCCCCCCTAGGTGGGCCAGATGATTCTGGTGCAAAACTCTGTGGCCACTGCTGTACCGCATTACACAGAGCACACAGGACAGGCTCGTGTGTGTCCAGGCTGTGCCGGGAAATCCTCTACCCCTGTGTCTTCACAGTGTGTCCTTGGTGCCTCTGTCCGGTCAGCTCCTCCCGTTAGCCATGCTGTCCAGTCCAGCGGCTGCTGTTGCGTGCTGTGAGCCTGAGCTGCGCTCTAAGTGTAAACTACGTGCTGGCTTGTGAAGGGTACAAATATCTAAGGGATCATTTTTTATTGCACATTGAAATGACTATTTTGGATGTATTAAATAAAATGCTGTTAAAATCTATTTCACCTGTCTCTTGTTTTCCACATAGCTGCTAGGAAATGTGAAGCTGGGTATATGGTGGCGGTTGTATTTCTGCTGGACCACGCTGGTCTCCAGGCGGGCACTCAGCCTCCCTAGCCTGTGCGTAGAGCCTCCTACTACAGGGCCCTGAGGTGCTGGAGGCTGCCGAGTGGACCTGGTGCTTTGCTGACAAGCAGCAGTCCTCCAGGGAGCCCCTGGGGGAGCAGTGGTCTCAGCGAACGCAGGACAGCCCCTCCCCGTGAGTCTCTGACCCTCTTTCCTACCTGGCATACAATAGCAGTGGCTATTGTCTGGGGTCTCGTGGAAGTATAAGGGGCAGGCGTCCCCCCGCCGGACACTGCTCAGCCCCTGACACAGACCCTTAGTCCTGAACACTGAAGCTGGAGGCTTGGCCTGGGGAGAGGAAGGGGCAGTCTCTGTGAGGCAGGGTTGGCCTAGTGGTCCGGGAAAAAAACATGTGAAGGCCTCTGAGGTGGAAAGAACTAACCAAGTGCTTCCTGGAGGAGGAGGAAGCAGGGCTGGTAGGACGGAGTCATCTGGAGGCAGGGTCCACAGCGTTCGTTCTGTGGCATTTGCTTATCAGGCTCCTACAATAAGGGGTCTCTGTTAACATACCACCAGGTTGGCCAGAGGGTGGGCCAGGCTTCCTCTCCTTACCCTCATGGAGGAGAGGAAGTGACCCTGTGAGGGTAAGGCCAGACCCCAGGGCCATGGTGGGCAGCATGGAGGGAGCCTCAAGCCCACTGGCTTCCATGGGCAAGGCCTGCCAAGCACACAGCATAGGATCTGCAAACATGCCCACCATGATGCCACCCCTTCCCATGTTCTCACATCTGACCCTCATGTTTGCTCACCGGGGGTGTGGAGCAAGACAGCCCTGTCCACTGTCCAGGCCTTCCCCAGATCCTCCCTTCCCCAGGTCCACCGTCCGGTCCTCCCTTCCCAGGGTGCGCCATCTGGGCCCTCCTTCCCTCGGGCCCACCATCCGGGCCTTCCTTCCCGGGGTCCGCCATCTGGGCCTTCCCAGGGCTAACATGGGGCTGAAGGTGCATCCCTGCTCTGGCAGATGTGCTCCTGCTCTGGGCTGCTGGTGGATGGGTCCCACAGTGCCTCCTCCCAGCACAGGCAAAGGCATCTCCCTTTGGGTGTCCACCTGGCTAGCGGAGCACAGGTAAGATGGTTGCAGCAATGGAACCAATGCTGTGTGTCCAGCTGTACTGCAAGCTTTCAGAAGCCAGAACCCTCGGCTACCCCCAGGTGTACAGCCTTGGGCAAGGTACCTGGCCTCTCCAAGCCTCTGCTTCCTCCCCTGTAAAAGGTGATAGCCTTCCCTGTCCCCAGCCTCCTGCAAGGGCTTCTTGGACCTGATCTCAGGATAGCAAGCATGCCCTCCACACCAGGCCTCCCCCCTGGCATGGGACACGTCGGCAGCACTGCCAGCAGCCTCGTTACTACAGGAGTGTCATGCGCCTCACCTCCAGAGTCTTCAAGCATGTTGGGTACACAGCAGGTCTCAGAGAACATTTCTCTGGAATCCTGGAGCCAAGTACTTAACATACAAGGTGGTAAAAGCCCTAGGGAAAGCAGAAAGCTCAAGGCTGATGTCAGTATCACAGCAACCCGGGACTGCAGGTCTCCAGAGCTACAGGAGGAACTGACGAGTGTCCTTGAGCTGCAGAGGGGGCCCTGGTAAACCCACGAATCCTCTGACCCCAAACCATGACCAGATGTCTGCTGAGCCCCTGCTGCACCTGGGAGTTGGGCTGTGGCCGTGAGACAGGCAGTCCCAGCCGCTACCCAGGGGAGCGTGGATGCTGGCCAGCCACAGATGTGCCCATGCAGAGGGCACCATGTAGTGCCTGCTGGGGACACGCGGGAGGAGCGGGAGCATTTCTGGGTGAAGTGCAGTCTTCCCGAGGCTTCCGCGGGGCAAGGGGCTGGTGGTTGTGGGCTGGTGTGGGCTCTGTGGGCCTGCTAAGGGACTTGTGGGTGATGTCTAGAAGTACGGGAAGCTTCCAGGGGCTGTTCAGCCAGGAGCAACGCACCAGTTTGGGCCCCAAAGGCTCTGCAGGTAAGGGTTAGGGCTAGGGCCTAGGAAGAGCCAGGCCGGGGAGGCAACCTCAGGTGCCCTGGGAGAAAGAGGAGCTGGACCCAGGAGAGTGCTCGAGGGCAAAGCCCCAGTGCGTGGGGTTCACGCGTCAGGCAGGCAAGACTCCTGAGCATTGAGTGGCGATTTCAGTGACAGGCACGGACTTGGTGGCCTGGGGACTGTGGGCAGGGAAGAGAAAAGGGCCTGGGTGGAGCTGGGAACAGTTCCAATATCCAATGCCGCTCTGGCTGTGGCATTAACTCCTGGCAAAGTATCTGAAGCCAGGCTGGCCATGGTGTTGAGTACTGGCAAATTGACCCAGAAAGCCCCTTCTCCCCTCTGGGCAGCCGTCTCCCTGTCTGAAAAGTGACCAGGCTGGATAGCATCAGCTCTGCAGGCCCTCCCAGTCCCAAGGGGAGGTGGCTCCGCGTGGTTTGACACAGACCAGGAATCACACAGCGCTGGCTCAATGAATGGGTGAAACTGGCTAAGCCACCTGACCTCTTTGAGCCTCAGCTTCCTCACCTGTAAAACAGGATAATAGCACAGTCCCAGGGGATGGCCCTGGGTGCTGAGTGAGGGACATTTGGAAAGCATGGAGCTCACCTGCCCGGTGGTCACTCAGGAGGACCTGAGGCATACCGGCAGAGCACTGCCACTAGGGGGAGGCAGAGAGCTGCCTCTGAGTCGGCCACAGTCAGTCCCACGCTTGCTGGGCACGGTGGCTCACACCTGTCATCTCAGCACTTTGGGAGGCCAAGGTGGAAGGATCGCTTGAACCTAGGGGTTCGAAACCAGCCTGGGCAACATAGCAAGTTTCCAGCTCCATAAAAAGAAAAAAGAAAAGGTAAAGTCATAGACTTCTTTTTTTTTTTTTTGAGACCAAGTCTCACTCTGTTGCCCAGGCTAGAGTGCAGTGGCATAATCTCAGCTCACTGCAACCTCCTCCTTCTGGGTTCAAGCAGTTCTCCTGCCTCAGCCTCCTGAGTAGCTGAGATTATAGGTGCCCACCATGGTACCCAGCTAATTTTTGTATTTTTAGTGGAGAGGGGGTTTCACCATGTTGGCCAGGCTGGTCTCGAACTCCTGACCTCAAGTGATCCTCCCACCCCGGCCTCCCAAAGTGCTGGGATTACAGGCACGAGCCACTGCGCCCGGCCAGAAGTTATACACTTTTCTAAGGTTCATTTTGTAAATGAAGAAATGCCAAACAGAACGACTGAAGCTATGGTAGAGTGTGCGTGCTTGTGTGCACCAGAGGACACTGTCGCCAGAAAATGCCATGCAACAGAGTGGAAGATATGCTGAAAGTCACAGCAAATATTGCGCGTGACTCTGTAGGAAATTATGGATTCCCAACAAACACTGAGAGTGTGGCCTGTGCTGCAAAGTCCAGGAATGGGTGGCAAGTTCAAGGCTGTGTGAGGAACGCCGGAAACCCACCTCTGAGGCCCTGGGCACCTGGCACCTGTCGTGTTGGGCATAAATAAAACTTTACAGCTCAGTCCTGCAACCTCCATGAGCCTGGACTTGTCCACCTTACAATGTGGACAGTTAGGATGCCTGCTGAAGAGGCCGCCAGGCTTAACTGTGCCAATGCAGCATGCAGGTGGAGAATGTGATCGAAAACCTTGTAATGAGGACAAGAGCCGTTCCCTTTCTGCGCCCTCACCCTGCACCCGGAGCGCAGCAGCTGCCCACCACAGCAGGCCCGGGGCCAACACCCAGATCCCCGCTTGAACATGAGGACACTGAGGTGCAACAATAGCCAGGACAACATCTGCCAGGTGGAAAGTGACCAAAGACACAAAGTGACCAGATTGGGAATCTCCTCGGGGCAAGCGCGAGGCGCCACTCGGCACCTTCAAAACGCAGATGGAGAACAGCCTTTCCCAAAGCGCGCTCGCTCACAGACCCTGTGTCTTCAGCTGCAGAGCCTGGGTGACGTGGGAGGCCCTGTGATGCCCCTCCGAGAGACCTCCACTCATGCCAGCACTTTCAATGCGCTGGGACCGAGCTGAACCATGATGTTTAGGTTTTGTTTTGAAGCACTTTTACAGAAGAGTACGCTGGCGCCCCACCAGGAACCTCTGTTGGCAGACGCTCACCCCAGGAAGCAGCCACGTGGCGCTCCCCTTCGTCTGCCTGTGCCCAGCGCTGTCCCGCCAGCAGAGCTCCTCACGTGTGGTTCGTGGATCGGGATCCACGAGATTGGGATCCTCTCCCGATGAGAGAAGGAGCCATGCAGAGGGAAATCAGCTCCGACACTGAGCAGGCAGTCCAGCCCCACTGACACCCTCTGCAAGTATGACTTTGGGAATGAAGGCGGCACAGGGCTTGTCAGTCCCCAGAGCAGCCTGGGGCTACATTACTGCGCTTCCCTCTTGAACTGGGGGGACCCCTGCCTGCCAGAGGGCCTGATCTGTGAGCCCTGAACGCTGTGTCTCCTGGCTCCTGGGACCCTCCTTTGCTCTGGCTAGAGGGATGCGGTGCCACACTCAAGGTTCATGCTGGCAGTGGTGTGGAGCGAGTCTGCAGGCTGAAGATACACTGCCTGTTTTCCTGAACTGGATGGAGCTGTCTGGAGCCCCGTGGCATCCGGCTGAAGTCTGAATCTGCACTTGGCCACAAGGTAGCCATGAGCCAAGTGGAGCTAATGAACACCAAAAATGTGGCCGGGCCCAATCCAAGTGCTGTGAGTGTACCGTACACCCTGGATTTCAAAGATGTAGTACCAAAACCAAACAGGGAATGTGAAACACCTCACTCACCTTTTATGTGTTGAAATAGTAATATTTTGATATATTGGATTAACTAAGCTATAGTATTAACATAAGCTTTGCCTGTTTCTTTTCAACTTTTTAATGTGACTGCAGAAATAGTTAAAGTTACATATGTGGCCAGGCGTAGTGGCTCACACCTGTAATCCCAGCACTTTGGGAGGCCAAGGTTAGAGGGTTGGATGAGCCCAGGAGTTTGAGACCAATGTGGGCAGCAAAATGGGACAGTGTCTCTACAAAAAATAACAAAAAAATTAGCCAGGTGAGGTGGTGTGCACTTGTAGTCCCAGCTGGTGGGGAGTCTAAGGTAGGAGGATCCCCTGAGCCTGGGAAGTTGAGGCTGCAGTGAGCTCTGATTGTACCACTGCATCCCTCTAGCCTGGTACACCCAGCCTGGGTAACAGAGCGAGACCCTGTCGCAAAATAAATTTTTTTTTAATTTAAAAAGAATAACATATTGAGGTGAGAATCACAGAACCTAAAGTTAACCACTTTAAAGTACGCATGTCAGACCAGGTGCAGTGGCTCACGCCTGTTCATCTCCGCACTTTGGGAGGCCGAGGCAGTAGATCACTTGAGGTCAGGAATTTGAAACCAGCCTGGCCAACACGGTGAAATCCCATCTCTACTAAAATGACAAAAAAATCAGCGAG